AAATAGCCGGACAACACCAAACCACCACCAAAAGTAGCCACTTTGAACGCTAAATATTAGTACAACAATAACGTTTAAAAATATATATATAATAAATAAAATTAAGCGCTATATAAGTTTATTAGATATCTAAGGTTTTAGAGAGTTAGACCTTATATACAAAGGTACAGCTACGTATTAAGTTAATTAAGTAGTAAAACGTTAAGAAACTAGCCCTTTCGCTTGCCTGAGATATCCGGCCATTTCGATTCCGCGAGAGCTGGCCTTTGAACAGCGACAAGCGAGCTGTAAATCGGACATGAAGTTTTTGGGGGAGGAAACGAAGATGAAATCTCATATAGGTTGGAACCCCACCCAGGTGGTCTTGACAAGGCAACGAGACATCATGTCACGGAGAAGAAATCCACCAAAAAAAACGGCCTAAGAAATTCGATGCATTTAAACTGGGGCAGATACTAGTCGCATCTGCGTTGTTGGCGATGGTTCGCAGGGCTCGCCGGATCTGTCTCCTAATATGGCAAGTTTTCCGACTTGTACTAACCGATTATGTATCAATACCCGACGCATTGAGGGCTTTCCCGTGGGCTTTCCCGTGGGTTTTCTTATCGACTTCCCGCGGGTAAATCCGCGGGATTCCCGTGGACTCGACATGATGCCGTACCCGCGGGTCGGAGACCCAAGTATGTATCAAATGTCTTAGCACTCTTGCCTCTAGGCTTGGTGAGGCTTGGTGAGCTTGAGATTTGGTCCGAATAGATGCCATTATCGGCCGCTTGCGGGTTGCAAATCTGTACTGTTGGCAGGGCACCTGTTCTCATTCCCCGGATCTTTCGGTGTCCTACAGTGGGGATCTCAATCTGCCCCAACATTTCCCCACAGCTTCTTGGACGGGTGCATTTCTAATCGCACCGATTGAAATACAAATAAGACGCCGTTCGCAGATTTCATTTCAGTCACCTTCCCAGACCGACCTTGCCTGTGTGTCCCCCAGCTCACCATCCGACACGTTGAATCTCTCGACCTAATCAAAGGAACGTTCGACAGTACGCCACCAGGGAGGCAGAGACAGTATGGGGCTCTCCGGAAAACAACTACGGCTAGCTCAGCTGCTGCTTGTAGTCATGCCAGCTTTTGTGCTTTTTGGCTACAACCAATCAGGTGTTGGTGGCCTCCTATCGCTTCGTGATTGGAACCATAATTTCCCCGAGATTGATACAGTCGATGCTCACGGTGCTGAGAAGAGCCAGAAGTCAACAAGGCAGGGTGCTGTGGTGGCATCGTTTACACTCGGCGCCCTCTTTGGGGCTCTATCCTGCTCTTGGTGTGCGGATAAATATGGACATCGCAAGATTATATTTGCGGCCGCCTTCTTAACACTATTAGGGGAAATACTTCAATGCACCAGCTTTCATATTGCGCAATTCGTTGTTGGAAGAGTCATTCTAGGATGGGGTGTTGGAGGAATGAGCGCAACAGTTCCTGTTTGGCAGTCGGAATGCTCGACGACGGCGAACCGCGGCAAACACGTTGTTTTCGATGGCGTCTGTATCCTTGGGGGCTACATGCTTGAGGCGTGGATTAACCTTGGATTTTTCGAGATCAAGGACAATCTCCCTCTACAATGGCGCATCCCGCTCGCTATCCCGACTCTGATCTCAATCGTGCCTATGGCTGCCATCTTTGCGATTCCGGAATCCCCACGGTGGCTTTGCAAACAATCTCGATACGAAGAGGCGCGCGCGAGCATGTCCGCTTTCGAGGGACTTGACTCTAGCGATCCCGTCATTAGTGACGAGATCAACGGTATTGAACTCGCGTTAGAGGAGACCAAGGCCCGGGCTAAGATAAGCGACATCTTCACCATGGGCAAGGATAGATTGTTCTACCGGTTTTCGTTGTGTATCTTTCTACAATTTGCACAACAAATGTGTGGATCTAATCTTATATCGACGTATTCTACGGTATGTACATGGCACTCGGACTGGTTTGCATTGGCTTGACTAACATAACCGTGACAGATTATCTTTCAACAAGGCCTGGGAATGGACAGTGAGATGTCTCGCATCTTGTCAGGAGGAGCTCTTACCTGGAAGTTTCTCTCTTGTTTTGTTGCCTACTTTACGATTGATCGATTTGGTCGCCGCAAGCTGTTCATGTTTAGTGGTTGTGGAATGGCCTCGTGTATGATGGCCCTTGCTATTGCCTCTAGCTTCCCAAAGAGCAACTACTCGGCACAGATTGCTTCAGCGTTCTTTATCTTTTTGTTTAATTTCTTTATACCTATTGGCTTTTCTGGAGCAAACTTCTTATACTGTACTGAGGTCGCTCCAACAAGACTTAGGATTCGCATGGCAGGTATATCAACCGCGAATCACTGGCTGTGGAACTTTGTCGTCAACATGGTTAGTACTGCAGAATCATCGGTTTTGGCAAGAATTGACTCTAACATGTTCTAGGTTACTCCTGTGGCGATTGAAACCATCGGCTGGCGGTACTATCTGGTGTTCCTTTCCGTCTCTGCTTCAATTGTTCCAATCATCTACTTCCTTTACCCAGAAACCATGGGTCGCAGTCTGGAGGAGCTTGAGATGATGTTTCAAGAAAGTGGCTCAATTCTTTCGCTTGTTCGAGAATCGAGGAAGCCAATTGTAGGGTCACTTGTGCCAGAGTACATTATGGAAAAAGGCGAACATGGCACTGTCATCCAGCATATAGAGTAGATGATGTTTCTTTTTTTTTTTAACAAAATTCATAGAATAGAGGTTTCACAGCCCATGATGAGGGTACGATTTGTCTAGGATGTAACGTATCATGTATCTGTAAAAATATTCTACAATGTACTCCAAAGATGAAATAAAGACCATTGTTAGTAAGGAAACATGATTGGAAGCTCATTCTTTGAGTCTAAAGGGATGATGGTAGTTGTAATATGTCGAGGGTCACAATGTTGGACAACTAAGCACTATTTAGTTACAGCACTAGGATATTATTTAATTCATGTTTAGCGATGAATCTGTGGAAGTCCAGGTTGGTTGGAAGACGGTGGTATGGAGTAGGTAGCTAGGACAGAAAGTTCTGGGCCAAGAGGACTACAGCCATCACAAGTATGTGGGGAAACGTAGATGGGAAGGATAAAAAAGGGTATGTATTATAGTCACGTGGTAATCATAAGTCTATGATGAGCTATCTACTTTTCAACCATCATGTTTTGGTGGTTTAAACTAGGTCAAGTCTATTGTTGGAAAAATGGAAATTTTGTTTCATTCGTAGCGAAAGCGGACTAGTAATTACAGCATTAATCATCGGCATCATACTCTGCTTGGTTGGGCAGCTTGGGGCCGTCTTTGCGGATGGGAATCTTGATGCCCTGCTGGGCAAAGCACTTGCTCAGGGGCGTGCTCTCGATGACGCCGGGGAACTTCTTTGCCGAGTAGACGGTAAAGGGGTCGGAGAAGTTGACGGCGAGGCACTTGCCCTTGCCGCGCGTGGGGCCGTCTGCGGCGACGGTGGCGTTTGTGCCGTCGCCGGCGCCAATGTCGAAGAGGAAGAGCTTGAGGCGGAAGGTGCCCTCTGTGCGGACGCTGAGGTCCTGCAGGACAAACCAGAAGCCGGGCTTGTTCTTGGTGTCGTTGAGGCGGCAGGCGTTGACAGCGTTCATGCCAATCAGGTTGCGCGTGTGGTTGGAGCTCATGGGCGTGGCGGGGATCATGGCCGAGGGGGCGGGGGCTTGGCCATAAGGGGCGGCGGGNGGGTAGTAGGGCGGCACCGCCACGCCCGTGTGGGCGCCGGGGCCGTAGCCCGCCGCGGCCATGGGCTGGGGCTGCATGTGCTGGTGCTGGTGCTGGTGCTGGTGCTGCTGGTGGCGGTAGGCCTGCGAGTGTGCATCGTAGCCCGGAATCGTCGTGGCGACATAGTGGCTGCGCTCGGGCGGGGGCGGGTACGACGTCGTCGTGCTGCTGCTGATGGACACGGTGGGCGCCGCGCTGCTATGGCGCACCAGGTTGACGGCCGACTGGCCCGACTCGTTCCACAGGTCCACCATGAGCACAAAGTACGTGCTGTCGATCTCGTTGAAGTCGAGCTCGCGATCCATCTCGTCTAGCACCACCAGCCGGATGCACGGCGGAGGCGTGATGGGCCGCCGGTCCTTGTCGCCAAACCCACACATGCGTGCTCGGATGGGCTGCTGCTCGACCTCGAGCTTGTACTTGCGCTCTGCTCGCCGCGGCGGGTACTGTGCCTGCCCAACCGTCTCGGCGCGTCCAGTCGTGATGCGGTTGCTGAGGTGGCCTTGGTAGTGAGCCATGCTGGCGGCCATGGTAGCTGCTGTCGCGCCCTGGAAGCAGGCGACGGCGACGGCGACGGCGACGGCGACGAGGGCACTGCACTGAGCTGGCGATGCCGGGGATGGTCAGGTCCGGGTTTGGGGATCAATGGCTGGCTGGCTGGCGGGTGGGCTGGCTGGCTGGTTGGCAGATTCGAGGGAGCAAGAGGGCGACACCGCTCCGGGGGTTTTGTTTTATAGCAAGCGGCTCCAACCAAGCGTTGACTTGTCCGTAGTACATGACTCATGTCCATGCTCGTCACCACATGAACCATGGTCCAGGTGCGGCGTACCCACAGACTGCAAGGCCTCTGATGGTGCGCACATCCAATGCCATTGCTGCCACTAGGCCATGGTCGTTGCGGCATACAGGTGGCCATGGCCTTGCCCGCGCCGGCCTGCAATCCCAGTGCCCTCGATGCCTCGCTTACATGGATGCAATCATGGCCTGCCCGCCTATCGCATCAACCACTCCATACTTGGCCCAAGTACACCACACCCACCCACGCCCTTGTGCCTGTGCCTGTGCGGTGCCTGCATCATCTACAACCATCATCACACGCCTATGCATTGCTCGCACTAGCCAGAGCTGCTTGCTGCATGCCCACTTTCTTTCCTCAACGTTCTTCCAAGGCACCTCCAAGTGCCCAGGCGTGGACAGGGAACTATTCACGCAACCACCATGTACTCGACAGGTATTTCTCCGCAACCCATGACTCGGCTCCATCTACACCTGTCGCCAACACACAAAGCACGCTAAAAATAGCTTAAATCCTCATCATCCACTTCTACCACTACCACTACCACTGCTTCTGCTGCTGTTTGCTATCCTCACATCTACTCACTCCATTTTCCAACCAACCTCAGTCGCGCCAAACAAAAACAGGTTTTCTTTGCTCCAAGAGGCGCTTCCGCGAAAACAAAACCGTGCAACCAACGTCGCCCATTCGGTCATCCCGTCTTGCTCGGTCCATGTGCTTGTTCCCTGCCAACCCAAGTCCTTACTCGCCTCAGTCTGCATTGTCCTTTGCACGCCCAGCTACCCTCGTCACACCCATCCATCTCCACACTCTTCTTCATCATCTTCTCTCCACATCGCCCCCCGGCCTCTTTCACCGCTCCTCACCAGCATGCACACATCATCCTCTACACACTGCTCCATGCCGTCATCACAGCGGCTTTTTCTTCTTCGTCCTAATTGCTTTTCTTGCATCCGTGTTACCATGACTACGGCACTTGTGTGCGCACCATCCCTTATGCGTCCCCTCCCATCTCCATGTACCGAGCGTCCCCGCATGCCCAAGGCCCCCGCTTTTGCTCACTGACCCTCTAGCCCCATTGAAACAGCGTCTGTTTCTTACCCTTGTTGCCTTTCTTCTTTCCAGCTACGCTGCCATCCTCAACTGCTGGTGTCGACGTTCCACTGTTCGCACCTGACCCTGATCCCCAAGCATTCACCACTGGAGTATTGCGCCCACTGTTGTCTCGCCGTAGCCCGTTACCAGTGTATCCTGGGCTGAAAATGGTACTTGTCGGTTTGGCCGCTGCTGGAAGCGCCGGGAATGCATCTGCCAGACTGGCCTTCTTGCTCACGTTTGATGATGATGATGCCGATGATGGCGCTGCACCGCGAGAGGGCGCAGATGAAGCTGACGGCCGGGCGCTACCTGCAGCAGACGAAGACGATGCCCATGGTGTTTGTCCAGGCTTGGCTCCAATGCGACTTGCAGGGGTCGGCAATGCAGGAAACGGATTGCTTGACGATGCCGATGACCAGCTGGCTTGTTGGTTGGCTGTTGAGCGCGATGACTGCGCTGTTGAGCTTTTCAATTTCAGCACCCGCGACCCTCCTCGAGCCGCCGACCCGCCGCTCAAAGCATGCTCAGTAGCAGAGCCAGGTAACGAAGGATAGTCCTCGTTGATGGCCTTCCAATCGTTCCATGCCTTGAGTAGTCCCTCTCGCTTCGGCGCAATCTCAAAAATGTCGGCTAGCTCTTTGATGAGCTTTCCCATCTCTTTCGAATCCGCATCGAACAGTGCAAAGAAGCCTTCAATCAGCTGTGCTGCCGATGTTTTTGAATTGCGGTAGGCTGATACCGCCCCTCTGAACTCTTGTAGCTTGATTTCGTTGTGCCCAAGCATGTTCGCAGCTCGTTCAGTAACCGCGTTGTGACGCAGCAACCGGGCTTGCTCTTGTGGGGTTTGCGGAATGGAACTGGCTGATTGCGCATCCACGCTGAGTTGGCTCATACCGTTAGTAATGTTGCTGGTAGCTCCCGGAGTTGGACGTGAAGCCGTCACTACGGCAGGTCCAGAAGCGGTTGGGGGTGGTCTGGCTGCAAATGCCTCACCAGGAGTGGGAGTCGAGAGTTGCCCACCAAAAGCTCTTCCGGTGATTGAATGGGCATTCTGCGCTTCCATCTGTCGCTGGTAGGCGAGTTCGGCTCTACTCAGGGGCTGCACAGAAGAGGCAGGAACTGGCTCTGCATTCGGATCTCGTCCCCTGCCACGTCCTCTGCCTCCTTCGCGCCTTCGCTCATCTCGTCTGCCGTTGCCTGCACTTTGCTCATGCGGGGCTCGAAACTGGAATCCAGACATGTCCACCCTCCGCGCGTCTCGCAATGCATCTTTGGATAGGCCGTTGGGATGCACCTCGAGCTGGTGTGCCTTGAGATCCATCTCTGAATCAAACACGACAAACTTCTTGTCCAAGCACTCGCGGTCTGGACATAAAAAGTGGTCTTTCCGAAAGTGCATCTCGAGCGAATCGTAATTGACATAGTATTGCTGTTTCCTGCTGCCTCCTTCGCGTCGATCGCAAATGTGACAGCGCTCGTGCTTGTCTCTGCAATGTGCGTACAGCTCATCGTCTCCATAGAAGCGCTGTCTACAAAAGCCGCACTCGGGATGACCTTTGAAGCCACTCTGGTCGATTGCGCCGGGATTGTCATCGCCAAACTTTTGGTGCTTCTTCAGGTCTTGCGGGGTGAAGAGTTCGTGCTCATGGGTGAACACCTTTTTGTTTCGTGTACACAGATCACTACGTCATGTTAGTCCAAGCACAGCCGTGCAGAGCGAGGACTACGCATCTAGTACATACCACATCATCTTGGCGTGTGCCGTCTTTACATGGCGGTGCAGGTCAGGCCATCCGAGGCATGCCACGTCGCACTCGCTATCCGGGCAGTTGTACTGCAGCAACAATCGCGTGTCCTCAAAGACTGCCGCATTCTCAAAGTGTATGCCTAGGGTATCATCCGACTTGAAAAAGTCGGCCTTGGAAAAATCCTCATACGTCTTTTCAGCGTCGTCGCTAAGGATGACGTGGTCGGATTCGGTCCTGCAATGGGCGCAAGCTTTTGTCTTGTATAGCGCTCGCATGCGGATTGAGCAAATGTGACATGTCCGGTGGTTGCAAGGAGCAATGGCCAAGTGCTGGACGGGCGATGCGCAGATGAAGCACACCTCTCCGTCTGCATCTTCGTCGTCTGATTGTGCGGGGGCCGGTGCAGGCTTGCTGAGTGCAGGACCATTTTCTGGTGTTTCTACCGCTGGTGCTTTGCCCTTGTCCTGTGCAGATGCGCCGCGACCACCAGGGCCGTCCCTGTTGCCTCGTCCTCGACCTCGCCCTTGGTTGCCACCCCGTCCGCGCCCTCTTGCCTCAAAATTATCCTGTCTCTCTTCAGAGCCACCATGTGCACCTCTTGCGCGTCCGCGCCCTCTGCCACCGCGCCGTTGTGCGCTTGCAGGAACTTGCGAGGTTTCTTGGGCACCAGTTGAAGCCATGGCGGGGTATCGCGGGAGCCGTGCAAGGTGCGTCTTTGGAAGAGTCCCGATGTGTAAGGCGGTAGTAGAGTGTTGAAGAGCAGCGACAAATCGATGAGTACAGGGCAGGCCGGCGAGGCCTCTTATTCACAGCAGGGCGTTTTGTGTTCTTAGACTAAAGGTATTACGATGACGCTCTCGCAAGCGAATGATAGCTAAACAGTGGCCCATGCGCCACCAACATGACTCAAGAAATATCTAGACTGTGGCGCAGTGAATGAGTCGACATGATGGTGATTTCGCATGTGGAACTCCCTTGTCCTTGCCTCCACAATACACCCTAAAATGATACTTACACAGTACACCCTGATCCTGGTGCCCGCAGCAATTGGTGACTGTCTAGTATAGAGTGTGTATCCGACATGGCCGTGAAATCCACAACCTTGCCTAGGTCATCAAAGCTCACGCAAGCCTTCCTCCTCATTGTCGTACTCATCACCATATAGCATCTTTAGCAAATTAAGAAAATCCTCTCCTCGTCCTCCACCACCGCCCGTGATGGTCTTGAACCATCCCTGCATGGCCAAGATGTGATCAGTGTATCTTTCGGCATCGAGGCGAGCCTTGTGTGCTTCACTCTCTTTCTTCTCTAGCTCAACTGGGTCATACTCGCTGTACGCGGCTAAGTCTGTGCGAAGTTGTTCCACCTCCTTCATCAAGTCGGCGTGCTTTGCGATGAGAGTCTTGCGATCGCCACCTGGAGTCCATCAGTAATGGGGGCACGGCGGACGCGTTTGCACTAACCAGGCTCCATGAGCATATCTTCGTCCTCTGTACGAGCAGCTTCTGCATTTCCTACTTTTTCCTGCAGCTCAGACACAGCTGCGCTGACCTTGTCGTACTCTTCTTGGGCCTTTTTGAGAGTGGTGTTCTTTGTCTTTTTCTCGTCGGCTGGGAAGCTCCAGTACCAGTTGCCGCTGCCAATCTTCTCGACGCGGATTTTGTTGTCATCTGAAAGTGCCTGTAGATAGTCTTTGACTTGCATGCCGTTGATGGAAGACACCTGAGGCAGCGTCTTCTCAAGGTCCTTGATACTGTGCGCCTGTGCTGTCTTGTGAAACCATGCCAAGATGGAAGCTACTTTCTGGGGGTTGGGCTGGATCTTAGGTGCCTTGACTATGTCAGGGTTGCAGATGCTGTGGTTGTTGTAGAACTCACCATGCTCACTGTTTTTCTTGGAGATAGTATGAATATTGGGGGATGGGATACTGGATGTGGCAGACGATGTGCTGCCAAAAAAAAAGAAGATGCGCTCATCCAGACGAGGAAGGCACGCTTGGCTGGCTCGGGCAAGGGAAAAAGGCAGGCGCGAACATGCATGGACAGGCAGCAATCTATCTATCTAGTCTGTCTCTTCTGCGATGCTTGTCGAGTCTTCTGCTGATGAAGCCCAGGAGGCGTGCACGCCACGGTTCGTCTCTTTTGTCGACTGCTTGGTGGCATCAACAGGCTCATGCTCTTTGACGGCAGACGAAGTCGGCTTGCTCTTGCTCTTGCTCTTGCCACGACCGTTGCCTTGGTCAGCCTCGGTGAAAGCCAGATCGCCAGTCTCGCCAATGACACTGCGCGCTGTTTCCTCTAGAAGAATGCCGAGGGCGAGCAAGACAGTTCCGTCCAGGTGTCGCCATCGTATGTTTCGGCCACGGGCGTCGACTTGGGCATACATGTGGGTTATGTAAGCATGGATCGAAGTTGAAAGTTCTCCCCTAGGCAGTTGGTGGGCCGAGAGACGGTTATGCGCTGGGTAATAGTCGTCCTCTTCATACCGGATCGGTGCATTTTTACGCTTGAAGAGGACTTCGTCCGGTCGCAGACGTTTCTTGGCCGCCTTTGGGCCAGTGACATGCCCAATCAAACCAGCTTGCGTCACATTGCCTGTATTTACAGTCAGAATCCGTTTTGCACGGCATGGTTATGTGGCTCTTGCCTGCAACAGAATCGTAGACATTGGCTCTTCGCTTGCGTGGCTTTTTTCCACTAGCCGCCGTTGAAACCTTTTGTGAGGGCATTGCAGATGCCTTGGTTGTATGGTTTACTGTTGTGCTTTGTCCTGAGAGGTGGTCCAGCTTCAAAAGGCAGATTGCGCGAGTAGCCGTTCGTGAGGCGAACACGGGATCCCTGCAGCAGCTTGGCCGCCCCAGTCTGCGCAGGAGCAGGCAGCAACGTCATAGGCACATACTACTATAGATACGAAGCATCAGCCTCGACCCGTCCCTCGGCGTCTTCCCTACTCTCATCCACCTTGCTGTAGTTTGTACCCATTGATTCATCGCTCGCACATCGCCACGTACACAAAAGCATGAGTCGCATATGCACAACCAACACGTGCTCGACCGCGCGTACGGCTTCATTCCCAACCATGTCCTCAAGCGCGCCTGCACCTCCCGCCTCGTCTACGCGCTGCAGCCATCGCCCAGCATAAACTTTAGCCAGCATTTGCCCACTTCCGATGCTCCACACGAGCGCATACCAGCCCACGCATCCGGTGTAAGTGCGCTGACAGTTGACAAGTTCGAGGGGAGGTACCTGTTGTCTGCAGGCGCCGACAGTTCCATCGCACTGTGGGATCTTGAGGCGCAGCCGGGTGCGACCGAGGCGGGCGAGACGTACATACCTCTGACTGGCGCAAGTAAGACGAGCGAAGAGCACAAGCTCGGCATTACACAGATACAATTCTACCCGTTCGACTCGCTAGCGTTCCTCACGTCGTCTTATGACCACACTGTCAAGCTTTACTCGAGCGAAACGCTCACCACATCTGCATCCTTTGACTTGGGCTCTGTCGTATACAATATCTCACTGTCACCTGTGGCATCGCATCTCCTTGTTGCCTGCGCCACGCAGAATCCCAACGTGCGTCTTGTAGATTTGCGGTCTGGGGCGACGACACACACTCTGGCAGGTCACTCTGGGGCAGTGCTATCTACGGCGTGGAGTCCGGTTCGCGAACACATTGTCGCCAGCGGGGCCACCGACGGTACGGTCCGATTCTGGGATGTGCGTCGCAGCGTGGGCCAACTGGCCATGTTGGATCTCGAAGACTCGGTTGGACGACGTGGCAGCCAGTCTATGTCCTTTTCTTGCAACGCAACAATGAAGCAAGCACACCGAGGACCCGTAAATGGGCTGATATGGACAGAAGATGGGAGGCATCTCGTGACATGTGGCCATGATGCGCGCATCCGCGTCTGGGACATGGCCACAGGGGCCAACACACTAGCAAACTTTGGCCCCATGGTTAAAAACACAGGGCTGTTGCCACGGCTGCCTGTGCTTGCCCCAGTTGAGAGCGTACAACCAGGTGGTGAAGTTGTCTTCTATCCCAACGGCTCTGAAGTGCTGGTGTACGAGCTGTGGGAAGGCAAGCTGATACGCCGCCTACGCCGCTCGCAACAGCACTCATATGGAGGGATAGCAGCAGGCAATTGGCAACAGCCAGCCAAGGATAGAATCACGAGTTTGGCTTGGCGGGCGCACGATGTGGAAATGTACTCTGGCCATGGGGACGGTAGCATTAGTGCGTGGAAGCCGCGAACCGAGCAAGATGCCGAGGCGGACGACGAAGAGGCGGCGGAACGAGAGGAGCGCGAGGTGGACAAGAAGAGGAAGAGGGGCGTGCTAGATGAGATTTATCAGGGCCTGACCAAGAAGCCGATCACATTTGGCAACATGGGGCTGTAGTGCGACCAGGTTGACAGAAATGCAATTTGAACCAAGAGCAGCATGTACAGGCAATGGGCATGATAATGGTAATGATGATGATATTTGTGTCCATGGCTATCATGTCTGCGTACGTGTCGTTTCGTTATCTGGTGCCGGGAAGAAGGCAGGAGAGAGAAGATAATATTACAGGCAAGGGAATAGAGAAAGAGCACATGCAGCCAGCCTACCCCGACCCAAAGTGCGGCAGTCTGGCAGGTACGAACTGGTCTTGTCCATCATGTTGCTGCCCCCTGTTTTCCTCCAGAGGACCCAGACCAGTGTCGGGTATTGATTGGGCGTCTACAGTACTGGCAAACGAAAGGTGGTCACGGCTGGTTGAGGCGGTCGGGGTGGGGGACAAGGGCGAGGCAGGGTCTGAGGCTAGGCCGCGCTTGACGGCGAGGTGGTGGGCATTGTGGCGCTTGCGGTCGACGTCGTCGTCTTGCTGCTGGCGCAGACGCTCTTCTTGCTCGTCGAGATGGGCGAGAGTGGGGATGCAGTCGGTGGTGTCGGCGGGCGAGGGGCGGTGGGTTGTGCGCGTCGAGAGGCGCGAGACAGAGGGGCGGTTGCTGCTGGCGCTGTCTTGAGTCCATTGGCCGGTGGTGCGGCGCTCGAGGGCAATGGTGAACTCGTCGTCGAGGGGCACGGCGTCTTCGAGCTCGTCTTCGCTGGGGAAGATGTCGCCTCTGGAGCTGAGCGAGTCGGTCGTGTGGCCCGAGGCATGCGTGTCGCTCCGCTGCCTGCGGTGGCCCTTGTGCTCCGACTTTGTGCGGGCGGCGGCATGGCCGTGGTCGTCGTGGTCGCTGTCGTCGACCAAGGGCTGGTCCTCGTCGAGGCTCCTGCGTGCTGCGCCCGGGTGGTCGATGAGGTCGGCGGCCGAGGGCTTGTAGCGCAGGCCGCGGGCGCCAATGTTGAAGGGGAGGCGGCCGAGGAAGCCAAAGTACGAGGAGCTGGGGATGAGGGTGGGGTCGTGGGAGGTGTCGCGGGCGAGGGGCCCCGTCCTGGGCTTGGTCTTGCTGTTGCGGCGCGGCGTGTTGTAGCGCACATCGCGGCTGCGCTGGCCGTAGCCCATGGCCGGCTGCGTGGTTGCTCCATAGCCCGCCGACGAGCCCAGGAAGCGGTCGAGGCTGTCGCTGCCCCAGCCCAGCAGGCCGTCCGTCTCGTCGTCGTGGTCCCAGTCGTCGTAGAAGTCGAAGCTCGACTCGGCCCGCCCGCGCGACCGCGCCCGGTGGCGGCGCCGGTCATGGCCAGAGGGGAAGCAGGGCGCGGTGCATGCGCTGACGCAGCGGGTGACGGACGCAAAGCACGGGTCGATGTAGCGCTGCGTGAAGCCGTAGATGTTCTCCTGCGCCGTGTCGTTTGCGTGCTCGAGATTCTCCGTGATCTGCTGCAGCGTCCGATTCCAGCGCGGGTCGCTGCGGCGGTACATGGCGACGTCGATGGCGATGCGGGCTTGTCCTCGTCTTCTTCGTCTTCGTCTTCTTCGTCTTCTTCTTCTTCGCTCCTGGCCGGCTGCGCTGCGTCGGGATATGCACTGCAATGGACGCGACGTTGGGTGTCGCCGACACGAATGCGCCGCGGCGAGAGGCGTCGGCCAGTCTGCCTACTCCAGACTGCAGCCAGTGTGTGCTAGTCCGCCTGCGTCCGCCTTGGTCTTGGTGCCAGCCCAGCCTTTCCCTCAGTGCCCAGCCCATGCACACGCACACGCACCCGCCATGCGCTACCTCCGCTTCCTCAAACCCCCCCGCATCCTGCGCGACAAGACCACCACCTCGGCCACCGTCGCCTGTCTCGTCACCCTCGCCTCAGACCTGGGCGACTCGTTTCTTCCCTACCATGTCCATCTCGCCGTCGAGCTCCTGCTGTGCACCCACGACGCAGAGCATGTCCTCGTCTGGACCTCTGTGCGCTGGGCGAGTGGCATGCGCTCCCTGCCCATAACGCTCCCATTGCCCAAGTCCCACGCACTGCCGTCGTCGCTGTTGCGCCTCCGGGTCGGCCTAGGCCCCGGAAACGCGCCCGACGAGTATTCTGCTCTCGCGGGTCAGGATGCGCGAGGTCTTGTATCCGCCTGGAGTGCGCCCTTTACCTTGGACGACGATGCCCCCAAGTTGGTCCAGCGCCGCTTCAGCCTGTCACCCCACTCCGCCATGGCCATCTGGGAGGAGACCGGAGAAAGCATTGCGAGGCATCTGTGGTAAACCTGCCTTCTCCAACACCTCTTGTCAACTACTGCCCACTGAGGTTGCCTTTGTAGGGACGCGGGCATAACCCTGGCCTGCCATATACCAGACTTGGCAGACACAAAGTCGATATTGGCAAAGACTCTATTACACTCCACAAAAGCTTCTCCCTTGACTATCCTCGAACTGGGAACCGGCTGTGGCATTGTTGGCATCGCTCTTGCCCAGACAATATCCAACGCTGACGTCCTCTTGACCGACCTCCCAGAAGCCAGGGAGATTGTCCAGCGCAACATTGACCAAGCGTCCACAGCACCCGGCACCAAGCTCAGCTTCCTCGAGCTCGACTGGGATGCCCAACTGCCTAGTGAATTACAATCAACCTCGACCTCCGTCAATCTCGTCGTCGCGGCCGATTGTACATATAATCCAGATAGCAGGTACGACCTCTTGCTCACCCCTCCAAGTCATCCACCTGACCATCTTGACACCACAGCCCGGCGCTTGTCAGCACCCTCTCCCGCCTAGCCATGTCCAACCCAGCCATTGTGGTAGCCATTGCAATGAAGGTGCGCCATTCGAGTGAGCAAGTCTTCTTCCATCTCATGGCTGACGCTGGTTTCATCGAGACTGCTAAACTCGACTTTTTACTGCCGGGCGATGTCGAGGCGGGTGAAGAAATTGTACATCTGCACGTATATAGCACTAGCATGGTAAGCTGATGAAGACGAGCTTGCCCCCGAAATTACGTACTCTTGGAAGTAAGCAGGGAAGCACATACCACACCATGTTCCACTTCAACAAAACCTGGCCATGCAGCATTCGACATATTGTCCGAGCCGATTACATACATCTGTTTGCTTGGAACAAGGGAAAATCATGGCTCAGGCACCATGTCGCCAGCGCACATTGCGCCTGTAGCCTCAATCGTACAAGTCCCTCTCCATCACAGCCTATCCACAAATCCCACCCCCATCGCACCACACTAAGTATTAACTCCACGTGCCAAGCCGCTTACTCCCCATACTTAACCGCGACGCCCCCAGTCCTCGCCCCACACCACCCGGCAACCAGAAACATCCCGACACCCTCCTAGCCCCTGCACCCACCATTCAGCCTCTGTTAGCACAAACATTGCCGCGTTAGTCGTTGAACCTATTCCAAGTCGGTCTTACCCAAAGTACAACTTGGCTTAGTGGCAACTAGTGCTGCTTTCAACGGAATTTCCTTCCCTCACCCTGACATGAATTACTCGAAGTGGTAGTTTCGAGGGCTGCACCACACATGTTCATGCCACTGCTTATATCCACGTTGATCATGCCATGCATGCATGCATGCATGCATGTATCTTTGTAGTATGTACAAGTTGCATTAACGTTATTTACAGTGTATTTCGGATTATACATTGTTGTTCATCGTCCTTTTTGTAATGAATGCTTACTATGATTATCATGACTTTCTTCCCGAGTCGCCCATCTTCTAAGGAGATATTTTGTACGTTAATCGTCGAGATTTGGCAATAAACGAATTGATCGCATCGTGTAGGCGCGCTCCAGGCGCTGTGATATGAACCTAAAGAGAAAAAGAAGATGTTGTTAGTCTACTTTTTTCGACAAGACATGCAAACACACCACACTCAACAGACTTACCTCTGGCTGTCCATCTTGGGTGGCCGCGCGACGCACAATGTTTCTCTCACTGTCCGTTAGCGCCGTCAGACCGTTGTCTGCTCGTTCTGCCGAGATGTGCGTCCTGTTTCCGTACCCGAGCGTACCACCCTTCTTCTCCTCAAACGAGGCGTTTTCTTCAATATATCGCTCTGCAAGTTCTTGCCGCCTCTTGTTCCTCCTCGCCATGAAGAATATCGCCAGTGCAATGAGCATCGTAATGGCCCCTGTCGTTGCACGTCAGCCGCCATTCATCTAGTGACAACAAACTTTGCGCTAAAAGCCGCTTACCTAGAACACCAAAAAGAACAAACAAAGATCTTGACAACGGCGTTAGTCCCCTGCCCGACCCACCCGTAGCAGAGCTGGCGACAACCGAAGATGTAGGCTGGAGCGTCGGTACCGAGACCGCAGTCAGTGCCGAAGACGCGGTTATGGCTAGTGGTGTGTTGATACTTTTTGGAGATGCCGTCACCTGCCCCCGAAAGTCTTCTGACTGCGAAAAGAGGATAAATGTGCTAAACGATGGCAGTGGAGGGAAGCCGGTAGCTGAAGATGCCGCAGACAAAATGCTGGTAATGGCAGGCGTGGGCCACGAAAACCCAGTACCCATACCAGATTCTGATGTAGTCAATGCTGGATCCGTCCGTGTCTTTGTCAAGGTCGTGTATGTTGTAAGCGTCGTACACAATACCGAAACCGGCATGTCTCCAAGAAGTTGAGCTGCTGCCGCATCGCCTATCGATGGTGGTGGTTGATTCTTGCCTGGCATAGGTCTACTTATAGTACCAGGATCGGCTTGGTTGACTCCTGGGAGAGCTGGTGCATCTACCAATTCAGCTGCCTGTGGAGTGCCACTATCGCTAGTCGAGGCGGTATCTACTTGGCCAGCCGAGGACAGTCGCGGATTCAATGATCGTTTTTGTCCCCCTTCCATCACCGGTGACGGGTCCGTGAGGCGAGGCGATGGTGTGGATTGTACGTTCCGCTGTAGTTTGCTCTCCATCTTGTTGGTGGTGGTCCTTTGATGGCGTTTGATCCGGGCAGCCGTATTCGTTGTCATGCCCAGATGGTGACGGTGTGCCAGCACCAGTAACATATCATTGTGTCCGCCAACGGCAGCCATGACATTCCATAGAAGCAGTCAAAAAGGTGACAGTTTGAGAGGCGGGGAAACAGAAGGTGTCCAGTTACCAGACCATGACTGGATAATACAGTTCCCATGTATAAGAGCATAAGGCCAAGCAACAAGAGACGTGCTTCCATGGGTGCTCGTTTCGGCGTTGCACCCACCCACAAACTCGTGGTTGGCCCACCAAGTGCTTAACACGTCTTTTTGTAACCAAACATAGCATACTTGGCCCATGTTGCACGACGATTCCAAAATCACTTCAGACCACGCGGCGCCAGAATTGGTGCTTTTTGGTGACAAGATCAACTCCGTGCACCCTTTCCAAACGTGCAATTGTTTCATAGGACAAGCGAAACTTTGCACCGACACTCGAAACGTAGCGCAACTGGCGGAACCTTAAACCACCGGTCGGAACCATTCCTACCAAGAGCACGCATTGCGTTTGGGAAGAGACATACGCGTACGGTTCTTGTGCTGCTCGACATGGACAAGCTGCTCCTGGACTTGGTCGTCCTGGTTGCAGCCCTGTGAATTGCCGATGCGAAATCGAAAAAAATCGATTGCAAAGCCTGGCGGACCCAATGTTTCGATTCCGCAGAAGAGGTGAACCCGAAGCAGTACGATCGGCGCAGGGGTTGTTGATGATGATCCGAGGCCTTGAGGCAACTCGACCAGCGACTCTGCTGCTACTACGGGCCACCCCAGATCAACGAACGCTAAGCCCTTCCCGTGTGTGCCCGTGCGCCACATCATCTGCGTCATGCTCACTGGCCACACCAGAGCCCATCCATCTCGTTGTCACGATCCTCCAAAAGAAATCCTCGTATCTTTTGAGATTCCGTCGAGTGTGTTTCATGTACGTGTTCAGCAACGCACATGTGCGACAAGCGCCCACCACCTTACGCTGCCAATTGGCTCCGACAACTTCGATTCCTTTTGAGCATAGGTTGTCATCACTTTTTACCATGTTCTCCATGCAAGGATAGCTATGTATCTCTCCAGATACTTTACCATAAAAGTATACCTTGAACATATCAGTCTATCGCAGAAGATCCCGCATCCACTTTCACCAAGAAACTGCCAGGGATTTTCTCATCTGTCCTCTGACAAGCATCTGCTTACCTTGGCATGGAAGATGGCCGTCTTCGAAGGACTTTCGTGCTAATCTAGTCGACATCGCCCTTTATCAGTTATGATCAGCATTGGCAAGTAGATATGGAGCAGAAATGCATGTCCCTGTCAAATACACATCATTTTCGTCGATCCATTTCCAGCGATTGGCCAACTTCGCTTCGACGCCCTCTTCGACGCGACAGTCCCCCCAACGCCCTAAAAAAAGGTCATCCGAGCTGACGCCAACCACACAGCCAGAAGCTGCCGAACAGGATCATCCAATCACAGTCGTTGGTAGCAAGCATCATTCCCATTGTATTCAGCTTATAGCTTGTAAAGCATCACAGCCATTCAAGACACAAGCGTACTCTCACATGCGCAGTCTATAAGTGGCCATACAATTCCAACTCTATCGAAATGTTGCGCTGCGAATTCCTAAGACCATTGTGTGATTCCACTGAACAATTTCATTGGAGGATACCTGAGTTTTACCCTTCCTTGCCAAAGGATGGCGAGGTTCTAGAAGTCTCTGTCAGTGTTTTGCCCAAGCATTGCTGGTTTCGGCGTCACAGCTGTTTGCAACCTTTAGCTTCTTCAATATAGCTACACCGCTGCCATCGCAACCACACAGCATCTTGTGACCTTAAGCTTTTAATGTAGTCTTCTACGGGGCGGTCGCAAAAGTGAGTCAGTCGTGGGCCGGGCGACAGGCTTGACCCAGAAGCTCCATTCTTTCTCGCAGCCGAGAAAACGGGGAAAAGCGACTGGGTAGGTTGTCCGTGCAACTGGGGTTCTTCACCGCACCAGTCTGGTTACGGGAGAGCTAATGCGGATGAAAAAGTACTAGTATACCAGCCGTTTCTGAGGGAAGAGTTGTACCTTCCTGTAGCCAAAGCTCGCGGGGCAGCATGCCTGACGGTCACTAGCTGACCGGTCATGCCTCTGGGCACACTGACAAATATGGCACATTACCAGCGCAGGGGTACTCTTCATTTGCCAAGCAGCCAAGCAACCAAGCAGAGCCAAATTCTATTCCAAAAGTGGTGTCAAAGCCTACTCGCTTACCGCATGTCACTGCCAGAACTTGTTCAATCCAGCAAATCGAATGTTGGTCAAGCAGCTCAGAAGCATTCTTGGGACAAGACAAGGAACGTAAAGTCGATTTCTTAGTCATTACCGAAGCAATCTGTCAATCATGTGCTGTATTTCGTACACCACGGGTGTATTGCCCCCAATCTACTTCTTGAAGCCAACTGCGTAGCTTAGAAGCCAACTCGCTACCAAAATGCGGCTGACTGACTCTACCACGACTGGGCTTCATCCTAGGATGCTTTACAGCCTTGATGAGCTTACTCGGGTGCACAAAGAACAGCTTAGCGAGCATCACAACTAAGCAGAACGCCAGCTCCACAACACTGAACCGCCACCAATCTTTGGTGGTCACGCTCTCGAAATGGCGTGGCTGCTACCATGGCTGTTAAAGAAATCATCAGATGAGCATCTAGACAGGCATCGTATTCAGCTGAACACGAAGCCCAAAGACCTCTAGCTCGATCCGAGTGGCACAACAAGAGGCTATAAGAAGAGTCTCGATATCCTCCTACTCTATCATCACGGCGGCAACTTCTTTTGTCTGATCCAGTTACAACAGTCCCGGCCAACTCAAGTTGTGCGGTCTTACCACGACTACCCTGGGTGGGCTGATCAGTCTTGCCTCTTCTCGGTTGATTGACCTCGATTATGTTGAGTCCGTTCCCGACCCAACCTACACCATTATTCCTGATCAGAGGGCACAAATTGTCTCATATAATCAGGGCGCTGCAATCGATTCAGATGTTGTTGAAGCCTTGCAGTCGCCGATTCCAGATCCAGGAGCGAACGCTCTCCAAGCACGCTACTTCGACATTCAAAAGCGTTGGAAGCCATGCCAGGACCTGAACAACAATGCAAATACTTACAATGCAGTTCTCAACCCGGCAGAGAGCTTCGTTATGGATGAGAATCTGGCCAGTTAAGCCTTGAATGCTCGTACACCTGATGGATATATTCGGACGTATCAGAACCTGAAATCATGTGCTCAGGCCAACGGATACATGGGGTCATTTTTACCCGTCTTGCGTAGCGTCCCTAGCTGAATTTCAACAGATACACAGTCATGTCTAGCTACAACGTCTAGGAATGTGCTGATAGATGCTCTCGCACTATTGGCTGCCAAGGCTTCAACACATACTTTGAACACAGTCCAAGCAAGGTTCCTGGTCCTACTTGCCCCAACCCAGAGGGTGCTGCCAATCCCTTTTTTGTTCTCTGGGGAAGCCCTGTCACCACTGAGAATGCTCGCAACGAGGGCCAAAAGGCGTGAGCAATATCATGTGGTAATCGCGTAAGTTTCTTCAATCCTCAGAATCAGGAGTCTGCCTCTGACAACCAGACTAACGCGTCTAACGGATATGTGTTGACTTCATCGCTCAACCCGCTCTCAAACAAGGCAATCGATGCCCCCCTTAACTGTAACAACAACGACTCTTACATGGACATGAGGTTGCTCAACGACAATGCTCCCTTCGATCCCCAGCGTTGTGAGGCCGTCTGCGAGGCTACCTCGCAGTACAACATCGACCACCCCGGAGATGACCCCTCCAAGCTTCCTAGGCTTTGCAAGTTCTACAACACCTATATCCTGAACGGAAACTTCTATTCTCAAGGTCTGGTCTGCGCTATGTACACCGAGTCCTGGGATCCCTCAGTCTACGCAATGAACGATGGCCAATGGCGTGGCGACGACCACTACACAACCTCCTCCAGCGTGTTTTTTTACAATACCACTGATGTCACTACCCCGGTCTGTCCAACCGATATTGACAGGCTTCGAGATGATGCCGATGCTGGCGCTTTTTGCACATCCTTCAACTCATACGTTGTGTCTGCAACAAGCACTATTACAAGCTACACTAGCACCACCACCATTGATGCCTGTGGGGCTCCCACCGCCCCTCTCAAGCGTGATGGGGAATCTGGTGCTATCTCGAGGCTGTTGTCACCGTCTACCCTGAGAAGGTAGATAATGCTACGGTCACTGGAAGCACGCCTGCTATGATAACCATTCCAGCTGAGCAATTGGATGCACCTGGCGTATACGCCTCAGCTTCTTCTGCAGCCATTGCTCAGCTTATAGGATCAGATTCTGAACCCACAACTCCGGTATCCCCTCTAGGTTTTTCCACTGCCGTTACCCCCACCAGCACACCCAGCCCTACTACCCCGGCATCTACTGCTGGTCTTGTCAAGCGTGCAGTAGCAACACCCCCGATCTTTGCTGGGCGCCAGTCCCGAGAGATTTCTAGCGCTTGCTCTCGCATAATCAGCATAGTCACACCAACTGTTATAGCGCGGGCACAAGCTACCGAGATAACCTACAACAACTGTGCCCAATATATCCCACTACCTGCCAAAATGGTTCACCACCTCAGATAATTGCTGGGTCTTTCAGCAGCTCTGCTCAAGACATCGACGACAGTTATTTCACTGTTAATCTGCCATTCCAGATCTGCATCTATGAGACGTGTAGTGCAGGGGTCAACCCCAGTAGCAACGGTCTCATCACGCTCGGAGGCCATGGTGTAGCAGACTACTTCAACTATAACATCCCTAATTTTGTGAGAGAGGCAGTCCTTATGGCCTTCTGGATTGATCTCTTCATTACTCGGGGCAGGCAACACTACATGGACTACAGCATTTGCGGAGATGCAGGCCACCGCACTGTGACATTCGATTGGAGAGTGACTTACTGTTGCGATTCCACAAGCGATGCTATATACAGCTTCTCTGTGAAACTTTTCGAGGATCATCCTGGTCGTGTACATTTGAATTACTTTGGTACACGAGATCAGGGCAGGTCAGCTACCATCGGTATGTAAGGCTTCACTAACGGACGACTTAAGTGCAAGACAGCTCTCGCTTGATATGAAATAGCTAACATTTTCAGAATCCTTCTTCAAGTATTCATACGGCCAGCCTTGCGCCAACCATGGCCTCGAACTAATCTTCGACCCTGCTCCTAACTATTTCGGCCGGGCTTGAACTAGGCCTTAGTAGATGTGGAAGAGGTATAGGGCTTTCATAAACATATGTGCATAGTCTGATTCTGTGGGTTGTGAACCAATTATATTAGAACGAGACCATACAATCAACGATACTGAACTGAATTTTGCCTCACCATCCACTGATAAGACGCGCATTTATGATCGGTCTTAGTCCATACTACCTCCCCTTACATGAACAGAAAATGGACCCGCTACTTAATTTCCCTCTGACATTTGAGCAACGAGGAGCGAGTGTTGGAATGTAAACATCATTCCAGGGATTGCTGATTTCCGACGTTCCAACACCGTCCAACGGAACGAACAGATTCTTTTTGTAAGTCCAATCTAATCATAATGATATCACAAAGGACCTGAATGATGCAAGATAGCACCTTCAAATTTCCTCACTTGGTCCACAAGAGTGTCACATATTCGCTCTTGCTAGGTAGTTTCTTGCAGCTTGAGAATAGGAATGTGCTGTATCGTTTGTCCAGAAAGAGATAAGGTCACTTGCAGGATATAGTTTCAATTTGAGACGTGACACGCTACAGACTCTAGGCTAGCTTTTTGTGTATCATACCTTAATTTTCGGGCCAATGGCCATGTAATCGCGCAAAAATCCGTATCACATTTTGGTTCTTACCGCCGGGTTTCCCATATGACGGAGCTTGCAGGGGACTCTTGCGAAGGAACAAATGCTAGATTTGTCAGTTTTCTATCTTTAAAACGTCCTGCCTATGTTATACTCTTCGGTAGCTATTCCCACCCTCTCTTACTACAAAACTTTCTACAAGTCTTTATAGCTTTCTGCCAAAGCGCTGTGTGCTCTTAGAAAGTCTTAAAAATGCACCTAATTGTGATCCCAGTGTGTTCCATTATAGGTGACCGGCCGCCGTAAAAGCCAAGAAGCCGGGTCGCCAATTCTTCAATCCTGTATCTTCTCGGACAAAAATCAGACAATGTTGATAAATCTATCATGAATCAATTGTGACATACGGACGAGCAAATACATCTAATCTGGCGCTTACGCGTCCTTGTCACTATTTACCCGCGCAAATATACAGATATACGTTTACTCAATGGACTCGCTGATAAGCCGGGCCAATTCTGCTATGTACATCCTTGCTGAATTTTAGAGCAGACCAGAACAACGTGCTTGTCATATTTACTACCTTTGTCCGCTCCAACTTTGAATTACAATCAGATTATACATTGGAATCTAAGAAAAATACAAGAAAAAACAAGACGACCGTGTCTAGGGGTATATGTAAACATGAATCTAGGCATTTCCATCTTTTCATCTCCTCCCATAAACGCCAGTTGAGAACATGCAAAAACCACAAAAGTTCACTCAATATTGAACTTGTCCATTTCTAAATCAATCCAACTCGCCCTCTTGACCCGGCGCCTCTTACTGCGCCGCTCTGTAGCCTCATCACGTGTCTCCCACCCTTCCTGATCGGCCCTATTGGATGCCTGCAGCTCAGGATGCGTCAGATTAGAATTGAGACGGCGCGGATCCACGAAATCAGGGTACTGCTGGTTGCCAAAGTCGTACATGAGCGGGCTGCTCGTGGGCCCGTTGACGCGGCGCGAAGTGTCTGGGCGATTGGCACTGGTGTTGGCGCTGTTTGATTTCTCGAGAGCGAGGGTGTTGCGGCGCTCGAGGGTGCATGTTCCGGTACAGCTCAGAGTTTGGAAGTTGGAGCTGTTGTTGCGATGGTTGGCGTATGCGGCAGGGCTGGAGAAGGGATTGGCATTGAGACTGGGGTCGGATTCTGTGCGATCGCGCACAAGCTGGATCAGTTTGCCGAGAACAGCGAATTCTAGTTTTAATTTAACAGAATATACGACACCCTTGAGCGTGGTCTGGATAAGATACTGATTTGCAAATTCCATGGCTAGCAGAGCGATATCCAGGATGATGATCAAGACGTTGATGGCGAGAAGCTGGTACATTGTTTTCCGGACGCTAGCCTGCCTGAGCTGTCCAATGGTGGCACCGTCATCCAAGCTGCGTGTATCGCCTTGGACAGATTGGGAGAGCCTGAGCAACCGAGTTGTCTCTTTGATGTAGATGATGGATAGGATTGTCTCTTGCAAAAAGAAGCCCGACATCTGTATCTTTTCCATGATAGAGTAGGCGCGGACGAAGCGAGCCAAGGTAGCGGGCGAGAGGGTATTCGCGTTTGAGCCAAAGGTCAAGACCGTGGTGATGGAGTGCAGTAGAACGCCATTGCAGATGATCATGTACAGAGTCCAGCGGAGGGTGCGGCGCGAGTTGGTGACGAGGTGCAAGCGCGACCATAGGACGACGGATTGACCTGTGTGTAAAGTGATGTGTCAGTCTCGATACAGGTTATCTATTTCCTCATGGTCGCGCGAAGCGGCAGCATACATACCCGTGACCATGGTGTACCAGCCGATGGTGAGAAACACGACGGCCACATATCCGACACTGGCGTTTGGGTCGAGCAGGCGGAAGAACTTTATGAGGAAGCCGAGTGAATAGGGTAAGATGCCGAAGGCGCTGATGACGAGCGACCAGAAGTAAAGTCCACGGTAGTGTTGGAAGGTGACAAAGGCGAGGATGATGAGCTCAAGGGCATTGTAGAGGGCGAGGCCGAGGAAGAAGGCAATGATGATTTTGAGCGGAACCGAGTTGCCTGTGTAGCCTGTGGTACCGTGGTAAGGGTGGAGTTTGTGACTTGGTAGCGAGGGGACTGACCTCCAGTTATGCCCGCACCGGCGGACTCAAGCGAGCCCTGTGCCGGCGTCGTCTCGGGAGCAAGAGCAGCAGACGTTGCACTGGCCGGCAGGGAGCGGGGGAGGGAGAGCGACGCCATGGCGAGGCTTCAACGCACCCGACACGGACGATTCTTGGTCAATCCAACATGGACGACGGCAACGACAGCAACAACAATGTCAGCAAGACGACAGGCAGTCAGAGGCGGCGGATGCCACGCCACGAGCGAAGAACAGACCCACGTCAATGCGTCCGACATGGCTACGGCTGATGGGGCGCGAACGAGGGCAGAGCAAAACGGGCCGTTTGGAAGGGAACTTGATTGAGAGCAAGCGTGCTGGTGAAGTGAAGGGGGCGGGGATGTGTGCCGAGCACGAGCATAGGCATACGTATGTAAGTAAGTAGGTGCATGCACGGGAGGGAGTGAGTAAGTATAGTACGTCTGATTAGCAAACACATGACGGTATAGGGACGCATGCATCTGCCCTTGATTCGCGGGCAGGGCTGCCGCCCCCCTCAGTCTAGCTGCCTCTGGACTAGCGCGGCAGAGTCCGGGGTAGATGCGCTCCACCTGCGCTTAGTCTGCTATCGGCATGTTTGCATGGCACCCGGTGCACAAGAGTTATGGCCAAGCACGTAGTGTAGTGTACTCGACCCAGGCCATGGCCCAACTAAAACCCTTGCAAGTTGGCAACGGTGTGGCTTTGTATATTCCTACTGCCGTGCAAGTACCACGATGATCTTTTACCCGTCCCATTTTCGCTTCGTGCTAGAGTTGTTTCTGATGATGATGATAGTAATTATAATAACAATAACAATAAACACCGCTAAAATGTGCTGTACGGGAACGGTGCTGCCGACTGCACAGAGTGCATCCTATCTTGGAGTGCCCATGGTTTTGTCCACCGGGTGCATGGCGAGGGCAAAGTCTGCAGTGAATAATGGGTGGTGACAAGCTTTGGATCGCCGTCGGTTGCAGTTCCATTCACGCCCGCCCCACCTCCCCGTGCCACCATCACGCGACATGCCATTTGCTGCATGCATCCGCTCAGACACAAGCACTGCATGCTTGACTCAGTACATGGAAAGGCGTCATTGTCTTTGTCCCTGCGTCTCCATCCATGCACACTCGACCCACGCCCCTCAACCAAAGCTTCTTCAGCGCTAAACGCTTATTAAACCCTGCTCTCTGCAAATCCCAGCTTAAATACTGAAACGGGCTTCAGAATCCATCAGTCACGTTGGTTTTTGCATGGGGAGAGATTCAAAGTTAACTCTATGCTATTATTTTGCCAATATGCCTGTAGCGGTCCAGATCCTGATACTTGCTATCAACATCCGGGAAGGATCCAATCTCGCCTACGTAGTGGAGGAACTACCGATACAAATACCAGGCTACTCCTACAGCTACTCTGTGGCTCTTTCATGTCCCTTTTTCTTACAAGGCCTATAGGTGTTTGATTAGATTCTTGGCTAGTTTGTGTCCTACACACTTCCGTACTATGCCTCTGAGTGACCTTGGTGCCGAAACGTATCCGATGCTACTTGCCTGTACCGTCACGATGCCCACTGAGCTGGCTACACGAGTTGTCCATGTGCCCACTGAGCTGGCCGATCGACTGCAACAGATGCCCATACACGCAATGATGCAGCTGCGCCAGCTGCTATGTACTTATGAGATAGGTGCACTTACTCTAGAGCGGACGCACGGGCCAGACAAGTCCTCACTTGAAACGAGCTCCTTCGGGCCATACGGAGCTTCAACCGAGCCCCTCCCTTCTCTATCCCAATCTAGACAAGCGCAGCCGCAACGACAGCCTGCGCGACTGTCGACAATCTAAACCCAAACCGTCCCAAGAACGCAGCCACACAACAAAGCAGCCGGACAGGCTTTCAACCTCACAATCTAGAGGTCCGCAGCCCAGTACACGCAATGACGCCTGCGGCTACGTCACGTAAGCAGCCGCCGAGCATCGACGATATCCTTCGAGCCAAGCGTGAGAAGGAAGCCGCCGCCGCGAAACCCAGATTCATTCCAAAGGCCGAACGGGAAAGGATCGCGCTCGAAAAGCGCAAGAAGGAGGTGGAAGAGGCACAGAGGCGACAGGCCAACGCCAACGACCTAGTATGGAAGCCCTCACAGGATGCGTCTTCACACAACAGCGCACCGTCTGTACCTCCTGTAGGCCCACGAGCGATGCGAGACGCACCCACCGAGCCGTCGTCTATGCGAGATCGCAGACATGGAGGTGACATGGCGCCACCACCACCACCGCCGTCCGAGAACCGAAAGAGCAAGCGACCGGCCGAGGACACGGAAGCCGCCATGATTCGGCAGCGATACATGGGCGCGGAGCAGAACCAGTCGACGTTCTCGGCCAAGAAGAAGCGCAAGAGGACAACCGAGAAGAAGTTTAATTTCGAGTGGAACGAAGAGGAAGACACAAGCCATGATTACAACCCCATCTACCAACAAAAGACCGAGGCCAGCTTCTTTGGTCGAGGCAGACTAGGTGGTTTCTCCGAAGAGGTTACCGATAAGGCGACACAGAGGATGATCGAAGCCATTATCGAGCGAGATCCCGAGCACGGCCGGGAGAGGGCACAGCAAATAATAGATATGGAAAGGCGGCGGAAAGAAAAGGGCGGCCGTGCGCAACTTGACAAGCACTGGAGCGAGAAGAGGCTGGAGAACATGCGTGAACGCGATTGGCGCATCTTCAAAGAGGACTTCAACATTGCTACCAAGGGAGGCTCAATACCAAATCCCATGCGCAACTGGGACGAGGCGGGGCTGCCAGACAAGCTCATGCGCATTGTCGACCGGGTTGGGTACACGGAGCCTTCGCCTATCCAACGTGCGGCGATACCTATTGCTCTGCAATGTCGCGACCTCATTGGCGTGGCCAGGACAGGTTCAGGTAAAACTGCTGCCTTTGTCCTGCCGCTTCTGGCCTACATCATGGAGCTACCTCCTCTGACGGCAGCCAATCGCCACGACGGCCCTTATGCCCTCATCCTGGCTCCGACGCGTGAATTGGCGCAGCAAATTGAGGTGGAGACGCGCAAGTTTGCCGCGCCGCTAGGCTTCAACACTGCAGTCCTTGTTGGTGGTCATTCTATTGAGGAGCAATCGTTTCAGATGCGTGACGGCGCTGAAATCATCATTGCGACGCCCGGTCGTCTGGTAGACTGCATTGAGCGTCGCGTCTTGGTCCTCAGCCAATGCACCTATGTCATCATGGATGAGGCTGACAAGATGATTGACATGGGTTTTGAAGAGCCAGTCAACAAGATTCTCGAGGCGCTGCCCGTCAACAACGAAAAGCCCGACGACGACAGTGCCGAAGATGCTAGTGTCATGAGGAGGGATATGTACCGTCAGACGATGATGTACACGGCCACTATGCCGCCGGCGCTAGAACGGATTGCGAAGAAGTACCTGCGTCGTCCTGCCATTGTCACGGTAGGCAACCTGGGTGAGGCGACCGAAACGGTGGAGCAGCGGGCAGAGTTTATCCAGGGAGAAGAGAAGCGGAAGAAGCGGCTACAGGAGATTCTCACGTCTGGCGAGTTTGCACCCCCGATTATTGTCTTTGTCAACATCAAGCGCAACTGCGATGCCATTGCTCGCGACATCAAGCACATGGGATTCTCGGCGGCGACACTGCACGGGTCAAAGACGCAGGAACAGCGTGAAGCTGCACTTGCGTCGCTCAAGTCAGGACAGACGAGTGTGCTGGTTGCGACCGATTTGGCGGGTCGTGGTATTGACATTCAGGATGTATCTCTGGTGGTCAACTTCAACATGCCGAGCAGCATCGAAAGCTACACGCACCGCATTGGTCGTACGGGTCGTCTGGGAGCGGACAAGCCTGGTGTTGCGATTACCTTCTGGGGCAACGAGGACGCCGACGTGCTCTACGACCTGAAGCAGATTCTTATGAAGAGCCAGATCAGCAAAGTGCCGGAAGACTTGAGGAAGCACGAGGCAGCGCAGCAAAAGGGCAAGAAGAGGGGCGAGATCATGGGCAAAAACATTACTTAGGGCCTGTTCTATCAAAGCTTCGCTTTGTGGCTGACAAACGGACGTTTTTTTTTTCAGACACGGAGACGTTTCTGATTCCGTTTTCTAGCTGGAAATCGTATAATTACTACATTGTGTTTAGCACCTGGAAACCGGAGACTGAAGAGAACACGCCCTTCAATTTTTTTTTCTTCTCTCGTTTGACTGCTGCATCACTTTTGAGCCAAACATACTATGTCCAGCTACTCCAGAGAACCACTACATAGTAGTTGATATAACCAATTATCATCCAGAGTTGACAAAAATTAGCTTAAAAAGAGTACACTACACTCACGCTAGGCCAGACGCCAAGTCACGTGTCCACACTATCGATAAGATCCGCCCTCATCTTGAGCGACGAGGCCCACTGTGACATGGACGTGATGAATAGCAGAGCATGACAAAACAACTGTTCAAGCCCAATGCCACTCACTCATGGCTTTTCACTCTATACTCCAGCTTCGCAGTTCAGGGTCACGCTGCATTGTGACTTCATCTTCTGAAGACACCTTGTTGATTACAGAGCTGTCTCTGTTCCTCCACTACTAATACGAGGTGAAAGCAACCTGGATAGTTCAATGCCTATCCGTACAAGTAGTCTCACTTCGTCCAGTCACAGTGCTTAGCCCAACCACTGGTACTCCTCTGGCGTGCGTTCATAGCTCATAAGATCATTGTATGCCACCGTGTGCCACGCACCCTCTCAATCTTGCCTGCCCTTGAGTAACCGCTTCGTCACCTTGTCCTTTTCGATGATGTAAACATGTGCGCCCCAACCTGAAAGTGCGTCACGGTCGACGGCGTTGAGTAGCGCCTGTGAAATGGTCTCAAACAGGTCCTCTGGGCCCTGCACTGAGCATTAGCACATGATTCAGAGCAAGATTGGCGTTGAAGAACCCACCAGATCCGGCTCCCACAGTCCCTCACATGTTCCAAACAGCTGGTCGCTCGCTGTTCCGCTTACGATGAAGTCCTTTGCAAAGTCGATGCACCCAATGCTGTCGAAACCGCAGATGAATGGCTTCCCGCTCGTCTGGTTGATACCTGCAATCACCGGGCTGATGAAGTATGGGCCAAAGCGTCTCTCGTACAGACTTGAGCTGACGAGGTTGGCCATGGTCTGTGGGCTAATGTTGCGTTCTTCGCGAAGACGGTACATGTTGACCTTGTAACGAAACAAGTCGGACACGGTCGAAACATCGGTGGCAAGGCCCGTCAGGCCGAGGAAAACGTCGCCGTATTGGAAGATCTTGGGGAAGTTGTTGGACACGGTGAGGGCCTGCATGCCGAGGCGGAGGTCGCAGGCGATGGCCACGCAGTCCTTACCCACCATTGCCACGCAGGCGCCGCCGTCTATTGGGATTGTTAGATGGGCATGTGGTATTGCGGTTATAGAAGAAGCGTACTTATGGAGAATGGCGACGACTGTTACGATTAGCTGTGCTCATGTGCCAACAGATGCGGGGAGCTCACCATGGCTGCAGGAGTGATGTGATATCTGAAGAGACAGTAGAGACAGCTCCAGAAATAAGAGTAGGGGAGGTGTAATCGACTGGAGATCTAGAATCAAGCAAAAGTGGTGTTGGTAGTGGTTGTGATGCACCCAGGTAGCAGCTCAGTACGCGGCGGCGCGAGCAAGCTCCACCCTTGGACAAGGCAAGGCTACTTCGCAGCTTAAACCCGTCTTGGCACTGGGAACTTTTGATCTCCACGCCTGCATGCCCGCATCGTGATCACAAACACGCAATCCACACAAGATGAGCGCCCCAAAGACGGTCGAAATTGCAAAATCACTGCCGCCGCGCCTACTGCGCTTCTTCCAAAAGTACCCTCCGCCTGCGCTGTTCCCTGATCTCACATCCCCACTTTCAAATCCATCGCAACCGGCGGCCAACACAATATCAACCACCCCGCCCACCGACGCCGATGCCTCAATTAACGAGATTTCGGCACAAAATAACACACCAATTCCCTCAAGCGCACCCCAAAACTCAAACATACCGCCAGAAGCGCACCAACTTCCCTACCCAAACCCTTTCCTCCCCCACAAGAACTTCACAACCGGACGATGGCAGAGCCCCGCCTATGGACTGCGCAAGCAAGCCGCCCTGGTGAAGCTTGCTTCTGAGCATGGTGTTGTCGATCTGCTACCGTGGACTATCAAAAAGCCGGGTGAGAAGGAGCGACAGAGGGTGGAGAGGGGTCTGCAAGTCAAGGGCACGGGCGAGGGACAAAAGGTCAAGGGAAAGCTGTGGGAAAGAACACTCAAGGGCCGCCTAGAGATGAGGCGACAGGCTATGCTGAACATGCCTGCCTTGATTCAGGAATGGAAGCAAAAGGGACACGGCAGGGGATGGAAAAAGTGGCCGAGTGGCAAGGCAAAATAAGTCTATCCATGTTTGAGTGGTGGTGGGCAGCTTCAATTCTTTATTTTCAATACCCACATGTACAATGTATGAATCAAATCCATTCCATTGACGCAACAAAACATGGGACGACGTTGGCTGGAAGTCTGATCAAGATAAAAAAAAACAATTGCTAATTGGGTATCCTTCTGACGAAATCTATCTCTTTCATAACCCGCCTAGTACACACCATGTATGCGTGTATGTGTGCATGCCCGACAAACTGACAAAAGTGTCGCGTGTACGAGTGTGCATCCCCTGTGTAACAGAATGCCCTACCAATCTACCCAGACTGCCCATGCGTCTTGTGACTGTAATCAGGATTGTTATATCTCACATGACCATTTCTTCATCTCCATAGCCACCGCGTAAACCATATTCACGTGCAAATGCATACGCTCCGTAATTGTTCTCCATATCAATGACGCTTCCCACATGCTTCTGCCAGAGGCCATTGCCAGTATTGTATACCGGATCAGTGGCTTGGTTGTATCTGTTGGCCTCCTTAAGAGCCTGTTGAGCTCGTGCCGACTCTTCATACTCGCGCATTGCCATCATCTCATAACCTGAAGACATGTATGGTTCGGCGCTTGCTGCGGCCATGGCCTGCTCTGATTCTTGCTGCTGCTGCTGCTGCTGCATTGCATTCCGTTGAGCAGCATCCTCGGCTTGCTGCCTTTCATATCTCAGCTTGGCCATTGCTTCTTCTTGCGCCAGGCTGGTAGGGGGCCAGTCATAGAGCTGCCTCGACATGTTGTAGTCGGTGCCTGCTGGGTGTCCCTGGCGTCCTGAGGGGGGTGAGATACGCCATAGCTCAAGGAGACGCAGGCGTTGGTCATCGTCTGCGTTCTTGAAGAGATCAATTTGAGAAGGAAAGAGCAGAGAGGGGTCGATGCTGTTTCTCAGAAGCACAGCTTCCAGATCCGACTCGTTGATTTGCGTCTTCAGACTCGGCTCTGAAGCACTGCGAAGAGGGACATGATGCGAGTGTGTGTAATGCTGCGAAGCGTAGACGATGTTCTTTGGGGCGGGCTCTGGCTCTGGCTGCTGCACTGGCTGGAGGAGAGGGGGTTGCACGTGGGTTTGTGAAAGCGTCATGTTGGCCGAGAAGAGCCTAGTCAGCTCGTCTTGCTGCATGTTTGCGTCTTGTTCAGCCTTGGGCTGCACGTTGATGCCGGTGGAAATTACGCCACACTGTGACGTAGGGTTAGAGGATGTTGGTTGCCAGTGCCAGAGTGTTGGCGGCTTACGTGAGAGCAAGAAATGTTTTGGGAAAAAGCAAAAGGACTAAACGAGACAGGAGTGTCGTAGGAGCAGGAGCAGTGGTGGAGGAGCATTGGTTGCATCTCTGTACCGGGGTCTCGAGAGCAAGTCGGGATGTGAGGAGGGGTAATAGTGTAGAAAACGGCAGTTGAGCAGTGGAGATGAAGCGAAGGAGTGAGGAGTAGGCGGAGCAAACTAGTGGACAAGCGGGAAGGAAGCAAACAACGGACCCTGATGTCTGTTGCTGGGCTATGTGTTGTGTCGAGCCGCAGTTCTTGAGCGTGAGCGTTGGGCGCTGATGAGTACTGGCACGGTAGGCGCGTGAGTGGGAAACAAACAGAGGAACAAGATGTAGATCAACAGGCTCGAGTCGAATTCAGCAGTCAAGAGAGAAGGATGTAGCAAGGGGGGAACAGTTGGCAGCAACGTCGTGGTGGTGGCGGTGGTCCCTTAAGTACATACCGTCGAGTGTAGCGCGCTGTCGGGTCATGCGTGAAGGCGGGATGATTCTGGGAAATTTGTCGCCCACAGTCCAGTTAGTGTCGACGCGTTGAAACCCAACCTGTTCGGCTAGCCAGTGGACAGCCAATCGAGTGCATCTGAAGCCTGTGAATAGTCGTCGGTTTGGGGCGACAACTCATCACGTCTTTACAGGCGTATGCATCGCTCGACGTCGCCCACTCGCCCGCCATTGGAGGGGTTCCGGCGGAAGAAGCCGGGGATCAAAGCACGGCCTGCACGTGACTTTGCGCCGCCGCAAGTAGACGACGTACCTAGTCGCTACAGTCGTGGTGCAATGACACAAGCATGTGCACCAGCCAACTCATCCAGGGCGACCATGCATACCTCTATGCGCAAGAAAATATTGCGACATACACACCAATATGTTCGCCCTAGCTGTGCGGCTCTACTCTTATAGCAAGTCCTAGGTAGGTAGCGTGTCGGAGCCGGGGGTCTCCTTGGCACGCTAGTGGTGAGCTGCTGGAGCTTGCGCAGATACACCATTGCCTATTGCCTAGTCCAAGCATCACCAACAACACCGGGCAAGCACAGCTCCCGACATTGTCCAATCCAGCACTCGAATTGTATCCGCTGCACAAGTAGAGCGGCCTTTTGAGCACGATTTGAGCACGACACCAATTACACACGGCCGTCACAACCACCCACTCCATCCACCATGGTAAACAGCCCCCCCGCCTGCTCGATACGCACCCTGGGGGCAAACTGACATTGCTGCAGACGTCAATAGGCACAGGCTACGACCTTTCCAACTCGGTCTTCTCGCCCGACGGTCGCAACTTCCAGGTCGAGTATGCAGTCAAGGCGGTAGAGAACGGCGGCACAGCTCTGGGCATCAGGTGCAAGGATGGTGTTGTGCTCGCTCTCGAGAAGCTCGTCAGCAGCAAGCTGATCAAGCCTGGTGCCAACAAGCGCATAACGACCGTTGACCGCAACATGGGCGTCGTGTCTTCTGGTCTCCTCCCCGACGGTCGCCACTTCGTCTCCCGAGCCCGTGACGAGGCGGCGCAATGGCGGCAACTCTACAAGGCCCCCATTCCTTCCTCGTCTCTCGCCGACCGCATGGGAAGCTACGTTCAGGCATACACGCTCTACTCGAGTGTACGGCCATTCGGCATAACGGCCATTATTGCCGGCTGGGATTCCGAGGCCGAGTTGCCCGTCGACGGACAAGTTGGCTCCGGTCCTTCTGTTGGCTCGGGAGGCAAGAGAGAGGGCGCCAAGCATGGCGGTCCATCTCTCTATATGATTGAGCCGAGTGGCCTCTACTGGGTATGCAAAACGACTAGACACTACGTATACAACGACTAATCGGTCCAGGGATATTACGGTGCAGCTACAGGCAAAGGCCGTCAGGTCGCAAAGTCGGAGCTCGAGAAATTGAATCTACACGAGGGCCAGCTTTCATTAGAAGAAGGCGTCAAGGAGGCAGCGCGCATCATCTACGTCGCACACGATGACAACAAGGACAAGGAATTTGAGCTTGAGATGACGTGGATCAGCAATCTCGACGGAGCGACCAAGGGTAGACATGAGGAAGTGCCCAAGGACATTCGGGAAGAGGCTGAGAGGCTTGCAAAGAAGGCGCTTGAGGGGGATGATGATGATGATGACGAGGAGGAGAAGATGGAAGAGTAAATGCATGGCTGCTCGAGTCGAGCCACGGTGGATAAAAGTACAGACACTGACGATGCGTAACGAGCGGCTTTGCACAGGCCTCAACGATCAATGAACAAGATTCAAACTAGCAAGGCATTGCGGTCATGTTTGCATGCGGCCCGCCTGCTTCTCATGCTGTGCTTCGCTTCGTCTTGCCCTTCCGCTTGTGGAGTGACAGTTAGCAGCACCCGCGTCATCGAGATGCAGGTACATCGGCCCCACTAGCGCGTCATTGCAAACTCGTCTCAACAACAATCTGCCCTGGCCTTCCTTTTATAACGTTGCTGCGTCGCCCATATCCGCTTGCATCCAGGCCCCATACTTGCAATTTGTCTGCAATCTGCCCGCCATGGCCCCAAAACTTGTTCTCATCCGCCACGCCCAGGCCCAGCACAACGCTACCAACGACTGGTCGATACGTGATCCTCCACTAACCGAGCTCGGTGAGCAGCAATGCCGCGAGCTGCACGAACATCTGAAGCAGACCGACATTGGTAACCAAATTGAGCTCATTGTCGTAAGCGCACAAAGAAGAACGCTCCAAACCGCCACCATTGGACTCGACTGGCTCATCAAAAAGGGCACAAAGGGTAAGACGAGCATTGGGGAATGGTGAGCCAGAACGAGTAATGGCTAATGGAGCCTCATCACAGTCATTCCCGACGCAAACTGGCAAGAAAACGCAGACAAGCCCTGCGACACGGGGACCCCCCTCGACATCATATCCAAGGAGTTCCCGCAGTACGACTTTTCTGTCGTCGACCCCTCATTTCCAGATAAGACGACAAACGGCCCCAAGAACCCGTATGCTTTTACCGAAAAGGCCATTGTGGCGCGCGGCCAAAGATGTCTTGAGGATCTGTACTCGCGGCCGGAAAAGGTGATTGCCGTAGTCTCGCACTCTGGCTTCCTGCGCACCGCCATATGTAACCGCATGTTTTTCAATGCCGACTACCGTGTGTTTGACTTTGACGAAGAGGCCATGAAGAAGCAGCCGGGCACTTTTGTGCTCAAGGAGAGCGACGAGACAGACAAGAGTGGCGGTGGCATGGGCAGGAGCGAGGTTGGTGTCTTTGGTATCGTGCCTGGAGACTTTCCGCCAGAGGTGGATGAGCAAGACGTGGCAAAGGAGGCAGACAAGGTGGATGACGAAGCTGCAAGAGAGAAGCCAAGTGCATAATCTGACCGGCTACATCCAAGTATACACAATCATACGCATGGTCTGTCGGTGTTTGATCTTTACCAAATGTCCTTTCCCCACACAATATCCAGCAAACTAATCTACAGTATGACTATGCATCAGTAATCTGGGTTTCGCATTTGTATTGATACTGTTATGTGATATCCTGACCAGTCCAGCCCTCCACTCTGTAAACCTTTTCCTTGAGACAATCATGGGAATCCCCCGTGTGGTTGGCTAAGCTCCTGTCGAGGAGTTTCCCACTTTACCAGCCAGTCTGAGCAAATTGAAGATGATGCTTCCAATGCTTGTACTTTCCTTCCCACGCGGCATTGAACGCGGCCATGGCTTCTTCCTCTCTGGCCCCCTTGATTGCGAGACTGACGGCTTGGCCATACAGCACATGCAGCTCCGTGCTTGCCCGCGCCAGACGCTGATTATTCAAAAACACCGCCAGCGGGTCCTTGGACCAGCGAGTCTGGATGTCAACTTTGACCGTTTTGAGAAACACGATATTGTCAACGTGGCCATTCGTACGTGTCTTACCACATGTCAATCTGCGAAACTGGAATAGTGGCTCTACCCATTTCTCCCGCAAACTAAACTTTGGGGCACAGTCGTGAATCTGAGCGCGAATTTGTAGCTGTTGAAGATTGATAAGTTTTTTCGAAGCCGCCTCGCATGCTTTGTACCTAGAGAAATGACAGAAAAACATGGTTGGTAAGTTGTTTCGTACAGTCATTGTACCAAAACGCTCAGAAGAGAGGAAAAGAACAGAGAAAGGATGAATAAAAAACATGTCTCGAGGCAATCGCAGCATTGCATTTCACTCACCAACTCTGCGTGTGCTTGTCCTGCCAGATTTGATGATCGGTCCGCTGAGGATGTCCATATGTGTTGTAGTGAAGATGCAACTTTGTTATATTTTGCAGGCTAGTGCTTGGCACGACGCCGAAGAAGCTGTGCATTCGCTTTGGCGCATCGAATATGAAAACAGTCTTGCAGTAGAGAAACCTGATCGTCTCCACGTAGACCTGCTTACACACCAGACTCAGGGAGTACAGCGAGCCGAGCCAGTTGGTCTGTAGGCCATGTACCATAATGTACTTACCAAGTGATCTGGAGAAGCGCACGACGGATGGAGCAAGTGAATTGTAAGATTCAGAACCAGGTTGAAGAGTCCGATCTTGCTGTGAAGAAATTCCCGAGCATAACTTGATTGTCTGGGGTTCCCGCTGTTTGAACCGACTGCCTTTTGCGGCTACTTCGCAGTGATGCTCCTGGTCGAAGTAGTACTTGTAGATTTGATTTCTGATTTCGCCTGGTAGGGCCAAGAAACCCCGCAGCTGCTTTTGTGTATAGACTGCAGGTCTGTGGGCACGAGAGAAGAGACTAGGCGATGTTGTTGTGATTGGCGACATCGAGGACGTGTCTACGTGAGTGAGAGAAGAAGGGAGTCAGAGGTGTTGAGCTGTTTTGATTCGGGTTAGTTGTGTAAGGTAGGTTAGTCGAAATCAGTAAAGGCAATCAAGTCGGAGTGAGTGGTCAATCAAACACGCCGCCGGTAGGCGTGTTGACGGTGAGGTAAAGTGGAGTTGAGGGTTGCCAGCCTGGACGCCCCCCACCTTGAGAGCTGGATCACACACCGACGCTAGCCCCGCTCGGGATTAATGAAAACAGCAGCTGCACCTCAATCGCCCGTGCTATCATACCGCCCCCGTCAAACACCATGTCTTGGTCACTCTTCCGCCCACGTATCCTCTTCCGCCAACCTCAATTCCTTGCCAGCCGTGCTTTGAGCACCTCCCGACCGCACGCATCCCGCCTCCGCCAGCCAGGCGAACCCACAGGCCCCAACGAGCCTCCAGCCCACATTTCTGCCCCGTCATCCAAGTCGCCCCTCAAGGTCTGGCCTATTGTCGCCATCTTTGTAACAGGCACGTTTTTGTTCAAGAAGATAGTCGACGACCGCAAGGGCGAAGGTTATCAGCCAAAAGGACCCATTCAAGGCCATTCGCCAAGTGGTAAAGGACAAGTGCGACCTTCGCATCCTCATTAGTCAGTCAGACAAACACAACAAAGATGCCTGCCATTGAACAGACCGACATTGGCGCGCGTACCTCTCCTCTGTGGTCCAAGGACGATGTAACGGTGCTCTTTGTCCTCGGCGGTCCTGGTGCTGGGAAGGGCACGCAGTGCCAGAAGCTCGTTAACGACTACGGCTTCAAGCACCTCTCTGCTGGTGACCTGCTGCGCGAGGAGCAGGATCGAGAAGGCAGCCAGTTTGGCGAGATGATCAAGACGTACATAAAGGAAGGTACTATCGTACCTATGGAGGTGACGGTAAAGCTGCTCGAGAACGCCATGCGGAGTAGCATGGAGAGTGGCGAGAATGACAAGAAGCTATTTTTGATTGATGGTAGGTACAATCCCAGTCCCAAAGTTGCGCTTTTCTCTTTCTGCAATGTTGGACCCACGTTTCTCACCAAAACTTTTCTTTGATTATAGGATTCCCACGCAAGCTTGACCAGGCCCATGCATTTGAGCGTGCAGTATGCCCGTCCAAGTTTACCCTCTTTTTCGAGTGCTCCGAGGGTGTCATGGAGAAGCGACTTCTGCACCGGGGCGAGACTTCGGGCCGGGCAGACGACAACCCAGAGAGCATCAGGAAGCGGTTCCGGACTTTTGTCGAGACGAGCATGCCGGTGGTGAACGAGTTCGAATCTCAGGGCAGGGTCGTTAAGGTCAATGCTGAGCAAGAGCCCGACGCCGTGTACAGGGATGTGCAGGCAAAACTCAAGGAGCGTGGTGTGGAGCCCATCAGCCGCTAAATTACAAAAACACAAGCTTGGTAGTTGGACGAAGTAGACAAGATGGAGAGTCAATATATATGAATTGCAATATCTATCCTGCGCAGCTCCAAGGCTGCGATTCATAAAGGTGGAAAAGCCTGGCTTTGTAATGCATCTAATGCCGTCCCTAGCCCATGCCCCTGTTTTTGCCAAAGAAACCAACGCACGCCCGCCTAAGACACCATGTTTTGCTTAGTCCAAATCCTCATCAATAGCCCTCTGCTGCTTCCGCTGGCCGCCCCGGCCGCCAAACCTCGAGGCCATATCAGCCTTTTGGTCAGCCTTGTTGGCCTCATCCTCCTTCTCCTGGAGGAACCTCTGCTTCTCCTGCTGGATGACGTGCAAGACACCCTGCAGACTGTTGCGCCACAGATCTAATCTTGAAGCCACCTCTCGCCACTGGTTGTCGCCAAAGACTCGGTATGTGGAGCGGTGGATGAGGAACGTCTGGTTAAGCTGGCTGAGCTTGCCCTCGACGAGGCCGGCGCGGATCACGTCAATGACCCACATTTCCACATCTTCCAGGGGCACCTGTAGGCCTTTTGCAATCTTGTCGTAGGGAAGCGACCGTGTCTGGCCGGCCGAGGCGGCCATGGAGGCAAGAGTGAGCAGACGCATTTTGCGGTTGAGGGCGGTACCGTCAAGGCCAGACTCTTCGACCCAGCCGTCATGCTCGTCCTTGAAGTCGTTGAAGTCGTCGAGTAGGTCTGAGTTGAAGATCTCAAGCAGCTGGAAGTAGACGGGGTCCGAGTTGCGCAGGGCCTGGATTGAGTCGAGGTCGGTGAGGTCCTGGAAGTCAAAGTGGTGGGGGTGGGTAAGTGCCGACTTGAGCGCGCGGAGTGAGAGGTCACGGGCGTCGGGCGACGAGGCCTGGTCTGAGGAAAAGGTGCGCAGTGCACGTAGCAGATATGTGTATGCCTGCTCCGTCTCACCCGCGTCGGCGGCGACATCGCTGACGGCCAGATAGAGCTTACGGGCGTCGTCGTCGGGTGTCTTCCACTCGAGGAGCCAGGTGTCGAGGTGCTTGAGCTGGGGGCGCAGCGTCTCAAAGTTGGAGGTGGCGCGGATGACACGGAGGATGGCGAGCAGGACCTGGTAACGGGCCTCGCTGGTAGGCTGTGTTGTGTTGAAGATGGTGCTTAGGATGGACAGGGCGAGGCCACCACCATTGTAGGGCGAAGACGAGATGGGGGCGCTGAGGTTCTGGCACATCTTGGGCAAGAACATGGAGACATTGGGCGACTGGTTTACGAGGTGGATGAGCAGATTGTAGGCGGCAATGAACTCTGCGCACTCATGGTTAGACGGGCGCTTTGTACGAGGCAAGTCAGGAGCGGTGCGGGGCAGGGCGCGGCATACCCTTCTCTGGCGCCTGGTTGAGGGACTGGCTGGCGACGACGAGCTTCTTGAGCACTTCATCCTTCTTGTTGTCCTTGAGCAGCTCAGCTGTCTCGGCCTGGAGGGCGGCGCTGTCATCGCCCTGGGATTTTTTGAGGCTGTCGATGTATTGTGCGAACTCGTCGGTAAGCTCGTCGAAGGAGCCCTCGATGAGCAGGGTTGTCTTTGCGCCAGGCATGGTGGTTGTCGCTGCGAATTTGGCGTGCGGATTGTGTGAGGGGGGCGGGGCGGGTGCAAGGTCGACAATGGGATGCGCCCGTCGAGTGGTGGGTGGGATGCCAAGATTTGCGTTGCATTTTTGGAGTTTGCTGCTAGTAAGTACTATCGATAGCACGTATTGCGTACCATACCACCTAGTACGTACATGGTAGTAGTATACATATCTTCCCTCCACACCAGCCGTTGCTACTATCACCATCACCACTACCACTATTATATTTATTGCTTACAAATATGTAGGTGTATGTGTGTGTACACTCACCTCACCTCTCACCCTACGACACCACACTACACCATGCTATTATACGCTTCCCCTCACCTCTTGTCACATCATGCATGCATGTGAGAGAGTTAATCTTTTTCCGTCCTTTCTATTACCTGCTATAAAGCATGGCATTTACACACGGACAATAGAATAGCAAGCCAACAAGCCTGCTGCCATCCTGTCTCTGTTTGCTGTTGCAGATGGAGCACGGTCACGTGACCAAGTCAGCACCCCCCACTTGGCAGCATTCAACCATATCTCAACATGACTCGAGGAGAGTAGAATAGTGGATTACATCATCCAACCTCGCAGTCCAACCAAAATATTAGAGCGGTAAGGTCTACTGGTCTACAGTGCCGGTCCACTACTCCACCCAGCATGTGCAATTCCTGAGCTTGCATAGCATCCAGTCTCCTACAGCTGCTGTGTAGCGAGCATGCAACGTTTGCCACTCTTGTACATCATTATGAGATACCGACTCCACGCCCACATCCTTACATACCTAGCATTCGCTACAGAAAGAATTGTTAGCACTACTAGTATGCTCTCTAGCCTTTTTTCAAGACAAAGTTTCTCTCGGTTGTATACAGCGCATAAGAGAAGCACTTCAATGTTATTTTCTTTCTCTACGTAAGAGACAACATGTAATGATTTAGGGAAATAGATATGCCTCTACAAAGATATACTATCAATGTAGATTAGGCAGAAATTAAAGGCAGTAGGAGAGGGGGCGCCGAAGTCGCCTTCACCGATATCCTGAATGAAGCAGCCCAGGCCCATACCCCTGCCATGCATATAAGTATGCTCTATTGCCTGTTAAGCATTCCAGACCATTGTGCTTTGAAAGCTAGCTGGCGGATGCTCAACAGATAGTGCAATGCATGCTGCCCGCCAATGGACCGCCAATCAATCAACGCTGCCGTTTCGGGCGCGTCGCGAAATTCACGCGTCATTGTCTGACGTCAATGCCCGATAGTCGCGCCTCCCCTACTGCCACCATTACCACTACCACTCCCATCGCTCACTCCCACCTGCGCTGGCGCTCAAAGCGGGAGTCTTTCCTTTGTCTAGACTCATCTCTTCGACTGTGTCGGCATGTGCATTTCAACTTGCCCATACTTCTTCTTTTTCCTCTTCTTCTTCTTTCATCATCATGCTGTCGCGTCCGACTAAAGCTGTGCTTAGCCAGACAGAGTCGAAGAAGACCACCAAGAAGAAGAAAACTAGCGCAAAGCGCAAAGCGGTTGAGGATTCTACAGAGAACGGGAAGCAGATCAAGAAGCCAAGGCTACGAGTAAATAGCCATGAGGACTCAACTGATTCTGCAACAAAGCGACGAGATCAATCGAAATCATTCGTTAAACATGCATCATCTGCCGTATCTTCGCGACACTCCCTGATTGCAAGACTGAAAGCTTCACATAAGCCAACGGGTGCCTCTCCGACAACGTTCAAAAAACCAATGCTGCCTTCACACACCACTCAAACACCGTTGACCCCGACGAAGCCGAAGAAGAGACTTGTAGAGACACAGAAACGGTCGCACACCCCGAGGGATGCGACGAGACCTCTCCACAATGATGTCTTCTCCCAAATGCCATTGTCGCCACCGATACTCTACGAAGCCGACGAAATGGATGATTGGTCACAGGACACTCCAGCTGTGGCAGCGATACTGTCGAGCAACAGCAAACCTTTCCCCGCATCGCCAAACGCAGAATCAACAGCTATATCCGGTCATGCAGATTGCGATGATGTGGCGCATGAGAAACGGGTGGGAGATTCGCAGACTGCAAAAAGTGATCCCTTCAGCCGAAGGACCAAGAGTGGAAAAGCCACATCGTTCTTACGTCGTTTGACAGGAGATGAATCAACAGCCGGAGATTCAGATCCAGCGACTGAAACTTTGCAAAGTGTGTTGATTGAGGCCGCCCAGGATTCACCAGCAAGCCAAGTTGATGATCTGGATATTGGTATCAAGGGTAGTACTCCTGCCGGTGACTGCCGTAACGACCAGCGACGCACCTCAGAAGCTGAGATTTTGCCTGTTTATCTTGATTCTTCGCCACCAAGGTTGCACTCGCCTATTAGCAGCCACAGCTCGACCTCTGCCGCGTATTTACTCTCTTCCGAACCCCCGTTACCTTTGTCAGAAGCGGACGAAATTGCGTGGGAGAAGAGCCTTGGGCCTCATCAGCGCAGCCTACATGATGTCTTGATCAGTACGTTGAAACGAGTCGTGGGTCATATTGTCGACAAAAAGACGGGCCTCGACGACATTGTAGAGACATTTGCAACAGATGGTGAGTGTCTACTAGAGTCGATACTATCCCAACATGACGACGATTACAAGCACGTGTTCGCCGACATGGAGAGTAAGAGGAGTGCTCTCCGAAAAGAGCTTGAGTATGCCATTGAGCGAATGGCTGGCGAGCGGAAGAGGATTAGCTTTTGATGGCGCATTGCACTGCGTTCTCACATGATCAAATAGCACGTCACGACGAAGATGCTTCTTTAGGATGCAGAGTCGACTGTTCGAGCACGCCCTATCGACATGATGATTGCGAAGCCGCAAATGAACGCGCCTAGGATGCGTATGCATAGTACAAAATACATGAAGTAATACGACAGTGACAGGCCTGCCAATAGAACGCTAGCGGCAAGTGACTTGGCCTTATGCACGTTGGTGCCACAGTAGTGCGGGGCTGCAGAGGTGATATCCACTCCCTGTACCCCAGTTCCCACAGTTGTGATTTAGAGGCAGATCTTCGCTGCATCTGTCATCTAGTCGAGTAGGTCCTGGCCATCCATACATAAATCTCGTTCAGACCCTGACATTATCCTTCTACCTTATTAGCCCTTGCTGCAAGCCGTCGCTCGACATCCAGCCCCTTGACAACAAGACAAATTTCGATACACAAAAACGTCAACTCCAAGATGCCATCCGTGACTCCCTCATACACACGTATCCCAAGCTTTTATCGCATCTTCTTCACCTACCTCGACCCCCTCATCTGCGTCTGGGGCGCGTCCATGGATTTTTTCCTCCCCTCTCTCGTCCTTTCGTCACACATTCCCTCGCCCCCCGTGCCAGACCAAGGACATATCATGGTGCTGACGCAGCGCGGAGGCGGCATGCTAAACTTTGGCATCGTGTCTGCTGTGCTGCTGCGGTACACAGACGACGTCAACATCTGGTCTATTGTACAGGTTGCTTGTCTAACAGTGGATCTGGCATATTACTGGAGTGCATGGCGTGTCCTGGGAGGCCAAGGTCGGTTGAGTCCCGGAGCGTGGCGGGCAGAGGATTGGGGAAGCCTAGGCATCACAGTGTTCGCAGGCGCCGTTCGGGCCGCGTTTTTGATGGCCGTGGGGTTCGATGGGCGTCAAGGGGTCAAGGGTGCCAAGGGACAGTAAACTCATACTGGGCCATGGGGTGCTATGCTCATCCTTGAATTTACGGATTACATATCTGCAAGTGACCGTTATTGCCTTATCAGTGTACGTGTGTCTTTGGCCTGTGTGTAGTATCACTGTGAGATCTAAGGTGTTTGACCATGCTTTGTGCGCAATGCAGCTGCGGTTCTAAAAACCGTTACAGTGATACTAAGTTGCAATTAGACCAGTTCTTTCTGCGAAGCACGATGACTATAGTCGACCTGCACGTTGGTTACTTTGACTGTATTCCACAAGTTTGCTTTTGCACGTGGTTTACAAACCTCAAGCTCCAGGTCCTCGCTTGCCGCTCTCGCCATATTGCGCTCCGACTCGGGACAAGAGTCAGTATTGGATGTTTTTTTATCGCGTTTGGAGCTACCGTCGGCTGTATCGCTATGTCTCGGTCTCGTGGTCATATCTACAGATGCAAGCGAGCGGCGGTTACTAAACAGGCTTGTTCTCCAGGAGAACTTTTGCGCAGCGAGGCGGTACAAGGGGCGTAGTGTGGACAATGAGCCAGCGGTGATGGCCAGACTCATTTCTATCTCTGACCAGATTGCGACGGGCACTGTGCTGTAGAGGAATTCTGGGTCGAGAAGGGTCTGGACGTAAGCCAGGCGCACAAGGACTGCCGAGCTTGCACTGTGATACTAAATTAGCCCATTCGTATTTTCAGCTCCGTGTGCAAGATTAGGAAGACGGACATGCATCCCATACTCAAGATAGGAATCAGTGCGAGCTTTTGATTGCGACTCACTGTTAAGCCCCTGATTAGAAAGACGGGAAGAATAGCAAAGCTGAAATCAGAAGCGGCAAAAATGGCAGACATGACATATGTCAAGTATATGATGATGTGGATGTCGATACATGTTCCTGGTTCGCCAATGGCTCTGGTCCAAAAGACGCGGACGGGTTTGCACTGGAACATTGCGATGAGGCCATATGCAGCGCCTATGACGACACTGATCCAAATGGCAAAGTACGTAATGCGACGAGATCGTACGTGTGTATACGGGGTATAGCGGAGGAGTGAAAGACCAAGGGATACTTTGGCGCTGATCATGGTCAAACAGTACGTCCAATAGCAAACCCACCAAAACTACAGTGAAACAGGTGTTAGTACATAGATACCAAGCAGTCACTCACTGAATTTCGCATACCCGTAAGGCCGTCATCATGCTTTCTGGTGTGAGGTCTTTGGACAGTCTTCCAGTGCCGGTGAGTGCACCTCCGGTGGCGCATATCACATTTGCGGTATGTATGAGTTGCGCGAACAACATCCAGCGGTCATCCCAGCCGAATGCCTTGACTACACATGTCCTTACGTAGACCCGGAGCACTATGGCTATCCAGGAAACGACCAGAAATGCCACCTCGATCTGTTCATAATCGTCAGTTACGTCTAAAGCAGACTGCTTCGTACTTAGCATACCCGAACCATCTCGCTGGCGCGAGATCCGATGCCCATGATGATTTCATAAAATTGTGGACCGATTAGGCAAAAATATGGGTTTTTTTTTTATAATAGGTGGAGCATCGTGAGCGGAGGGCCGGCCGTGTCGCACTTATACCCCAGAGTCAAAGGACCCAAGTCTACATACGCCAATGTGCCACAAGTTTGGAACGGGGCCACACGCCTTTGCCACGCTGAACTACGCACGCAAATGTGCAGAGCAGCGGAATTCCTCGACACAAGTCAGCGTCGTCTTGTCTCTAGCTGGCGGCTTGGCAACAGGACATTCCTATAATGGTGCAACGTAGCGAGCCTATAGATCCTGGGCGTGTGTGAAATCATACGTAGATCAACATCGCGGAGTTTTCCGGGTGGATTACAGCTTGGCATTGCTTGCTTTTTATACCGCACAAGAATAGAGTTTATCGGAACGTGCCCAACGATCAGTGTCTGGAACGAGCCGGAGCGCCACAAGGAGACCCGTTCACGGTAGATAATCCAAATGGCTGCTACAGGGCTTGTGTCCATTGGGCCAGTTGAGCTTCATGATGAATTTGCTTCTTTCCTAAGGAGACGATTACGCTTTTCCAGGCCTTTTGGATTCGCAAATGTTCGTAATATGCTATCCAACCCCGTGTTGGAAATATTACAGGCCTAGCAGTTGCTTTCTGGACGGCACTTTGGCGATTGTGTGGGTCCTTAACGTCAGTATCGTATGTTCAAGTCGATCTGCTTGTTTGATACGAAAAACCTTGGTAAAACTCTTCACTTCTCCCATACGCAATACCGCGTAAATTGTCGTCTTTGAAGACGCAATCGCGCTGTAGAATATCAAAACTACAATATGCTTGCCAGTAATACGATGGTGCCTAGACCACGTGGAAATTCAGCTTTGAGCGCGGCTTCATCCGGTACTGAACAGGGGCCCAACAGAGCTATGGCGTAAATGGTTCGTCTCTGTAGTAGCAGGGGGCGCAGCTGCCGTCGCTACGCGTATATGCAGGTACAGCGGGGAATGTGTTGCCGGAATATCAGCATGGGACGGATGACACGTGCGAATCGAGTCATGAATGCCGCTAAAAAAGACGACGACTATGCGGCTATGTAGGGGATAGGTTGCCGAGATGTCACCAAGCCATGAGTGGTAAGTACTGCGACATGAGACAGATCAGGTGAAGTACAAGAATGTCTGGTTATCCGTGGTCGCACCTGTTTATATACCGGTGAGGTAAAAACAAACACAACATCTACAGACGATTGAAATTGAAGATGTATGTAAAAGTGCAAGTTGCCCTGTGCATACACCTATGTCTCAATCTATCATGTCTCTTATCCTCTTACCTTGGGAAATCTCTCACTCTCAGCAATCGTTGAAGCTTCCAAACTTACTACAAGCGCATGAACATGCCAAAGATGTATAACAAGCGACGATTCATACTACTCATTTCTTACTAAAATTCAACTTGACGATGATTTGCAGACACGGTTGGCAATTACACTGTCCACACTTGTCGTATCCTAGTCTAATGATCGACGCAAGGTAGTAAAAGATCCCCCAGCCGCTGCTTGGCACACGATTGACAAGGTGATAGATAACAGAGAGGTGCTAGTGTGATTGCTAGGGTTGGCTGATACTCCAAGAGGCATGGTGGCAAGAAAGAGACATCACATGTGTAAGTATACAAGGTAAGCAGGGGACATGCTGTACTTGCAATGCCTAGATATGGTGGTAATGATGCCATGTCAATATGATTGCCAAGTGCATCAAGGCGAGTCAACTCAGGAACCACTTACTAGCAAGGGATACGATGAGTTTCTATAATCACTAAAAGTATACATGAAAATGGCATTTCCTGGAAACAGCTAAAGCGAAAGGATGTAGATACTGGCATACAAAAGCTCATAACACACGTTTAGTACAAGTTGTCCATATCCGTCCTAATATCGTCTCACATAGCCTCCTTGGAGTGAACTTGCTCAAGATGAGCGGAAGCTCCTTTCTTCTCTGTATAATCACTGTCGGCATCGCTGACATTGAAGCTGTCAACAATGGTGGTGGCAAACTTGCGTGCAGGCACGCGCCTCTCGAAGAGAATGTCGAGTTCTCCATAAGTTCTTCCCTTGGGCTCGGGAAGGCGGAAGAAGGCCCATACGAAGCATCCGAAAGCAGTCCCAGCATAGAAGAAGCCGCTCTTGGCACCCCAGTTCCAGGCACCAGGGTTAAGCATGCGTGGGGTCAGGATATTGCCGATAATGGATCCGATGTTGTAAAAGTTCCTGGCAAGGACAACAGTCTTCTGGCGGAGACGAGTGGATGGGATTTCGGCGACAATCGAGTAACACACTGGACCGACAGTGCAATTGTATGCAGCGGCGAAGAGCAAAAGCATGGAACCAATTGCCCATTGTGCTCCAACGTTGCCCTTGTGAATAGTGCCAAGACCGCCAATGATGCACATGACCATGACCATGACAAAATCACCAACAACGTACAGAGTTCGACGTCCTACCCGTTGAATGAGAGCCCAGGCGGCAAAAACACCCACAGCACCGATTGCATATTGACCAAGACTCATGGAAAAGGCGTTAGCATCGCTGAGGCCGGCTTGCTGGAAGAAATAGGTGCTGTATCCAATGAGACCGGCTCCACAGAAAGCCTGGGTAAACCAGGCCATGGCAGCAATCTCGGTTCGTCGGAAGTCGGTTCCCTTGAAGCAGTCGAGGTACGAAGTGCCTTCAGATACAGCCATCTCCATAGCGTTGGTATGGCGCATCATGGCAATAGTCTCGTCGGGATTGAACTCGGGGAGCCTCTCGGGAGACGTCAGGCGCATCAACATCTTCTTTGCCTCATCAAAACGATCCTTGCGCACAAGCCACCAGGGCGACTCTGGTGCAAACGAGATGCCAATCATCAGAGGAACAGGCCAGATCCACTGCAGGGCGTAGGGGATGCGGTAGGCCCACTGATCAGGTATCTCGGCCACGCCTTTAAGCACGCCCGAGGCGAGGAATTGGCCAATGACCCAGCAGAGGTTGACGTACGTGGTGAGAATGGGACGGAGGGGGACAGGCACGACTTCGGCAGCATATGTGCAAGTCAGAGTCTGGAAGACACCCCATGGAATACCGCAAAGGATAAGGCCGCCCAGGAGCATTTCCACGTTGTGTGCGAAGAAGACGATGAAGATGAACAAGTTTGTGGCGAACAAGGCTCCAATCATGGTCTTTTTATATCCGAATCGATCTGCGAGCAAGCCGTTGAGCATCAAACCCATGCATTCGCCAACGTAGGCGCCGTTGGTTAGTCCGGCTTGCCATGCTGCGGTGACCTCGTACTTGCCGTCGGGGAGTGGCTGGCCAAACTTGCGCTTAAAGGCTGGCACTGCCATGAGGTTGGCAATGAGGACCTTGTCGAAGCCCTCCATGATGATGGCTGCGGAGAGTAGAACGGACCAGGCAATGGCCTTGGGGTACAGCTTGATGCCCTGTGCCAGGCTCATCTGCTGCTCGGCCTGGGTTCCTTTGCTGGCATCGTGGAGAACCTGCTTGATGTCCGGGGTAGCAATCGAGAAGCGGCGTGCCTGTTCCGGGTCAGGGCCGAGGATACTGCTGTTGCGGCGAGGCATGGCTGTATGGTCAAAAGGGGGTTGTGCTTTCTATTGATGATGACGCCGGCAGGTAGTCTGGGTCGAAGCCCGGCCTGTTGGGAAGGGTGGAGCAGCTGGTGGAGCGGTAATCTCAACGGTGAAACTGCACGGTGTACTTATACATTTGGACTGCGACCCCGGACAACCGGTACCCATGTGCATCCAAAGCCTAAAATCCGCTCGTGCCAACTTAGCAACTGGAGAGGATGAGTGAGACAGAAGGATGCGGGGAGCGACGCCACGAGCGAGCATGTAGAGGCCATGGTCTTTGCGCGACTTGGACTGAGGTCATGGCTTTGGGGCTAGGCCGGAGGGGGCCATGGGCGCCGACGCGGGTGCGCCATGCGAAAAGTCGGAGGCTCGATGTTTAGCCAATGGTTTGCGCACTGTCGGACCGAAGCAGAGGCCAAAGGCACAAACAGAGGGCATCACGTGTGGCGACAAGGCCCTCGCCAGGCCCTCGCCAGGGGAGTGTGTCGAGTATGGTGTCGTCGTCGAGAAACAAAGGGGGAGGCGAGCGGGCGATGATTGGCGCCATGTCGGGTGCCAGAAATCGATAGCGTGCGTGCACCAGGGCCGAAGCCGCAATCTCCCCGCACTCGCATAAGGCCTCGCTTATTCCCTTGGACAGGCGGCCCAGGAGAGACGACGGTTGGCGTGGTAGGGGAAGCACATGTCGGCGGGGAAATAGTCTGGGGCATTAGCATGGGGAGCACGAGGGGATGCGAGACTATCTGCGGGGTGAAGGCTGGCAGACTGTGGGGTCGAGGCTGCGTCGTTGCGGGGGACGGTGGTGCTGGATGGCGTCCCTGGGCCCCGGGCCGACACGCGCCCAATCACAATCCCCCCGAGAAACATCCCGGGGTTCCGAAAATCATTCCGAGCAGTTCCGACAATCTTCCCGAAGTATACAGTCCATCCCACCTCCATGCCATGTGCGGGGTGACGGCCACGACCACCACAACGACTGCTCTTGCGCACAGTAACGCACCCAGAAAAACCTATAAGAAAGCCGCCGGTACCACGCAAAGCCATGACGACGGCATTGTCTTCTGGCCAAGTTGCTCCCACCCCCCACACCGCCGCCGCAATGACAATCACTCCTCGACCATGGTGGAAGGATGCTGTCGTCTACCAGATATACCCCGCCTCGTTCAAGGACAGCAACGGCGACGGCATTGGCGACCTCAATGGCATCATCTCGGAACTCGACTACATCCGCTCCATTGGCGTCGATGTCATCTGGGTCTGCCCCATGTACGACTCGCCTCAGGTCGACATGGGCTACGACATCCGCAACTACGAGGATGTCTACAGACCATATGGAACCGTCCAGGACATGCAGCGGCTGATTGACGAGACCCACTCACGGGGCATGAAGATCATCCTGGATCTCGTCGTCAACCACACTTCAGATCAGGTATGCTCGCTCTAGTCACGTGATTTGCTGTGGCATTGGCCATCACATGCTCACTGCCTACAGCACCAATGGTTCCAAGAATCACGCTCGTCAAAGGACAATCCAAAGCGTGACTGGTACATTTGGCGTCCCGCCCGCTACGTCGATGGCGTACGCAAACCCCCCAACAACTGGGTCTCCAACTTCACCGGCAGTGTCTGGGAATGGGACGAGCATACCCAAGAATACTACCTCCACCTCTTCTGTCCTGAGCAGCCCGACCTCAACTGGGAAAATCCAGAGACACGTAAAGCTATATACGAGTCGGCCATGGAGTTCTGGCTCAAGCGTGGTGTCGACGGCTTCCGCGTTGATACCGTCAACATGTACAGTAAGGGCGATATGCGTGACGCACCCATCACCGATCCGGGATCAGAGTGGCAGTTTGCCGGCTACCAGTACTGCAACGGCCCGCGAATGGATGAGTTCCTGGGCGAGATGAATCAGATTCTGGAAAAGTATGATGCCATGACAGTCGGCGAGTGTCCACACACACTTGATATCAACAGAGTACACCAATACGTAAGCGCCAAGGAGAAGCGACTCTCCATGGTGTTTCAATTCGTAAGTGGACCTGGCCCTATTGCAATAACCTAGTGCTCACCCAACCCAGGACGTAGTCGATGTTGGGCAAGGCCCCTACAAATTCCAAACCACGCCCAAGAACTGGACACTGCCACAACTCAAGCGGGCAATAGCCCGCACTCAAGATCTGATTCGGCCTCCATCTGACAGCTGGACCACTGCTTTTCTGGAGAACCACGACCAAGCTCGGTCAATTACGCGCTTCACTTCTGACGCCCCACAGCACCGTGTCGCTGGCGGCAAGATGCTTGCCCTCATGCTGAGCGCTCTTAGCGGCACGCTGTTCATCTACCAAGGCCAGGAAATCGGCATGACAAACTTCCCCGAATCGTGGGACATGAGCGAATACAAGGACGTCGAGTCATCCAATTACTACAAGATGGTTGCCAAGCGCACCAACAACGATGTCGATGCGCTTGCTGCTGCACACAAGTCGTTGCAGCACCTTGCGCGCGACCACTCGCGCGTGCCCATGAGCTGGAGTACCGCACCGTACAATGGCTTCAGTCCGCCCGATGCAAAAGACAAGCCATGGATGCGGCCGCTAGAAGACGCAGACATTTGCAATGCAAAGGCGCAACAAAATGACAAGACATCTGTGCTGGGTTTCTGGAAACACATGCTGCAGCTGCGCAAGGAGCACAAGGATTTGCTCGTCTTCGGTCAGTACGACGATCTTGACGTTGACAATGAGCAATTTTACATTTTCAGCAAGACGTGGCAGGGAAAGCGGGCGCTGTGTATTTGCAACTTTACAGATGAGAGCAAGCAGCTGGTTTTGCCAGAGAGCGTGGCAGCGCAGAAAATGCAGCTGCTGGTAAGTAGTCGGCAAGACGAGGGCGTCGAGGAAAAGACGCTAGCGCCGTACGAGGGAAGGGTCTATCTTTATGTGCAATGAATGTTATGACGAGAAATTTTGTAGAGATTGACGGATGAGTTGATATCACCATGATGGTCATCATCGTTGTCCTCATCCTTTTGGCCATGGTTGTTATTAGAATACAGAATTCTAACAATATACGACGTGTACATGTGGAAAAATGTCCATGTTTGTTCATTATGCATCACCAAATGTCGCCACTTGCATGGTCAGGCGCCTGGAGATGTTGTTCCAGGTGGCCAGCAGGCCGCTCCTTGCATCGGCTCTGGGTAGTGCTCCTTGTACTGCTGGCGCCTGAAGCACTCCATGCCCGTCTGCCATGAGCTCAAGCCCCGCGGCCGTCTTGGACTGTGTGACCTGGTACCAAGGGTCACTTGGCACAATGGGACCAGCGCTGTTATTGTTGTTACCGCCACTAGGGGGACTATGCACATCGAGAGGCAGATTCGGAGAGCTAGCATTACTCAGGACCTCTGGGAACATTGTCTGCAGCCGCTCCAGCTTCTCGAGCAAAATACCACGGCGGGTTTGGTCGAGATGGGGGATGAGTAGGACAAAGTCGAGGATGAAGAGAAAGTCGTCGATGCGCAGTGCTGTCTCGTCAAGCGTGGCGGCGGGCACGTGGATCAGCACGTCGGCAATGGTGTCTGTGATTTCAAACAGCTTCTGCGTGATGCTTGTGCCGTGGACCTCAATGTCCTGCCGCGACATGCTCGAGACTAGTTGACGCAGCGTCTGCGAGAGTCGCACGGGGAACAGAAGCGATAGGCATTCTTTGGGCGAGCGCGAGGAAAGCAGCGTTTGGCTCATGGCGAGGCGCCACACCAAGGTGCGCAGCCATTCGCGTGTGATGCACAGATCGGCACGCTGCATCATGGACAACATGGATAGCTCGCGCGCGTCCGCCTCAGGGTCGCCCTCGAGCTCGCGCGACTTGGCCTCAACCCAGGTGCTGGTGACGTTGGCGCCCTGCGAATCCAGCCAGCTGTTGAGGAATTCCGTGTCCAGCAGCTTGAATAGCTTGATGATGTGACTGAAGCCCTCGTGCACCTGGATGGGCAGCGTGGGGTCGTCTTCGGGCATGGTGTAGAGCGGGGGCAGGATTGCGCGGCGATAGTCGAGGATGGCCAGGAAGCGCTCGTGGATGAAGGCCTGCCAGTACAGCCGCTGTCTCCGAGAGCGCTCTGGGGCAGACAGTTGTGCGGCATTCTCCGGGTTGTCTATCCTCAGCAGCTGGATGATGGTGATTGCGTCGCGCATGTAGAAGAAGGCGGCGTCACTGCCCTGCAGGCTCATCAAGCAATTGTGGATAAACATGGACTGCACTGCTCGCATGACGGAAAAGTGGCAATGCTTGTGCGAGCGGCGCATGGTGTCGATGGAGTGGTCCATGAGCTTCTCAATCGTCTGCACCACTTCGTCTGTCCTGCGGTCGCCATAGCGGGTGAGGTTGAGGGTGCAGCCACCAAACGCATACACAAAGGAGCACACATCTGCATCAGTGTCCATGGCCTCGATGTACTGGCGGAGTTCGTGTGCGGTGATGACAGGATGCACGGGATACACGCCCTCGACATAGTCGGGAATGAGGTCGAGAAAAAACGACTTGGTGTACTGCGACGTCAGAGAAGAAACAGGAGATGCTGCTCCGGGTCAGCAGCAGCATTCCGCATTGTTTCTGCAAGAGAGACATCAAACAAGCAAGAAAGAAAACAAAGAGACCTACTGGCTTCGGCTTCGTTGCTCGTGACGGTGGGCGAAATGGGAGTGTATACGGCCTGGTAGGCGGCTTGCCCTGGGTGAGCGGGCAGGATGGGCGTCGCCGTGGCAGGCGACGTGGACGTCTGGGTTCTGAACTCTGAAATGATATGGCCTCTCTTGCCCTGTGATCTCTGCTTGCTAGATGGCGAGTAGATGCATCGCAGTCCGAGGTGGGCGCACTGCTGGCAACGCGTCTGGCCGTTGCAGCGCACCTTTCGCCGCTTGCACGCGTCGCATGCTTTGGAAACTCTTTTCTGCGATGACTGGTCCATGGCAGTGGGTCATGTTGCGTGGTTATAGCTCTGCTCTTCTTCTGCTCCGTCCTTTTTCCTTCTTTTTCCTTCTCTTTTTTTTCTCTCCAGGACGAGCCTCGGAGTCGGAAAGGTCAGAAGATCCGGGGGCGGGATGGACATAGTGCGGAGAGGCGCTAACCTCGGAGCTCCATCCCAAACTAGCCTGCGTGCATCGTAGGCTCATGCGAGGCACCGAGTCAAGCAGGTCTGAGGGGTTTTGCTGGTGGTGCGGAGACATTGGGTACCCGTACCTGGATCGTGGGCATGGCCTTGTGCATGTCCAGCCGGCATCGTGCAGGTCAAGGCGCCCCGCGTGCGGGCCAGCCCAGGGATCATTCGACTGCGCAGTCTTCCATGCAGAGCCTAGAACGCTTTGCAGTCGACACGCGTGTGACGGATAGACGCCCCGCTTGTCAGTGCCCATGTAATACATCTACCATGTACTACATGTGTACTTGTGTACATACTTAGATACCATGCCCTACCTATATGAGTACATACCACACACGCACTATAGATCCTGTTTCCCTTTCTTGTTGCACGCCCTTCGGAGATTACCCTCATCTACTGGCCGCTAGGACAAATGGCACATTCATGCCCGTACTGCTTCCAACGTCTCCCTTCGTGTTAAGGCGCTGTTTAGCCGTTTCAGCTGGCGAGCATTTGTCAATCTGGTTCCATCATTTAATGGGCTTGCTTACGTCTACGTACGTATCCAAGTACACACATCAGACAAATCCATGCAATTCCCTGCGACTGGCGTTGACTTGCACAACAAATGAGTTCAATGCCTTGGCGTTGTAATGAGATTGCACATGTATGTATGTCACCCAAAGCCCCAGTGCCAGCATCCATCTGTGGGGAACAGGATATACTTGTTACGTGATACACCAACTAGCTATTAACTGACCATATGCACCATCTCCTCCCGCGGAAAGAGTCTCGCGCGGTGGCTTAGACTAACTTGCTATACGAGGACCTAGAAGCATGCATACATGTGGCGCTTGGGATCAACTCACCCACATGCATCAATGTCCTTCTCCTCACAATCAGAGAGCATCTCCCAGAGCACCACCATCGCCCTGCATCTGCCTCGCCTCGGCTTGTTCCTTAGCCTGGATGTATTGGTACTTGAGACGGGCAGCCTTGAGCTCAGCTTCCGCGACATCTAGCTCCGCCTGCAACTTCTGCACCGCCAGAGACTCGTTCGAGACATCAACCTCGCACGTGGAACCAGCCCGTGGGCCGGGGGAGAGGGAAAAGGCGGGCGCCGGGTGGGTAAGGAGAGAGCGGGCACGGGAAGATCGCACCGAGCTAACATCTTCGTCGTCGTCTTCGTCGGTGAGAACTGGTCGATTGCCGTGGTTGGCTATGTGACGGCCATTGTTGGGCGTGTTACTCGCACGTTGGCGCTTCTTCGCAGCTGGATCGTGGCGCTCGAAACCACCAGTATCTGCTCGGCGGAGACGGGCGGGCTTATCTGTCAAATCTTAGCATTCATGGCTTTCAGATACAGTCTTCGGCACTTACGCTTGTGTCGCTTCTTCATGACGCGAGCCTCGTAGACCTCATGAGCACCACCGCGGCGGCGCTTCGCACCCTTCACTTCATCAGGCTCTACCAACTCTTCAAAATAAGAATCAGTCGAGGAGCTAGACGATGGCTCCACCACCTCGACTTGGTTCTTGCGTTCTGGGTGCTCGTACTCGTCCTTGAGCTCTCGGATATCGTTCAACCGGCACCAAGGATGCTTGGGCTCATGCAGAGCGCACTTTGCGTACAGATCCGCTTGAAATGTGGCTAGGTCGCCCTTCTTGAGACGCGAAATCGCCATGAGGTCCTTGATAAACTGGACACCCCAATTGCGGGGGTCGTCCTCCGTTTCTTCCTTGATGTGGTCACGGCGCTCACAATCCCACGCGCGCATACGAATATCCCGCGGGATGATGTCTACTGGGTCCGAGACACCAAAAGAAGTAGCAAGCGCAGGCAGGAGGCATAGCACCAGATCCTTAGTCTCTGGGTTCAAAGTTTCGAACCTGCGCATGATGGGAGTCGGCGTATTCCAAGTCACTGTTTTGTGGTCCCGCGCATTCAGCACGTAAGGTCTTCAGCTTTGTAGTTGCAGAGTGAGCTACCTACAATCCCAAAGTGAGCAAAGCAAAACTATCTCAGACGCCAGAGGTAGGAGGATCGCTTCGAGTCTACGCGGTTTCGGCTTGGGCGGTGAGGAGCATATGATGACTAACTCTTCAAGTAAATTTACCTTGAAAAATTGCTGTCAAATATATTCCGTGGTCAAGAGGTGAGCCGATTGGAGCCAGTAGTGATGACAAGATTGTCAAATTGCATTCACCCTTGGGTGCACCAAGAATGGTAATTCTCTTCTTTGAGTGGATCAGGTGCTGCAAATTGAATGAAAAGCCTGAGTGTTACATGAGGATGTATGGCCCGAAGAGTTTAGCGTGACGTATTCGTAGGATTTGGGAAGTGAGAGAGAGTGGAGGCTAGCAGCCACTCTGGGACTAGGAGCAAGCGTGAATGCTTTCACCACTGTTGTTTGTTGTGAAAAATGGACATGAACGGTGAAGAAGACAAGGAAGTGGGTTCGGGAAGCGTTAGAAAAGCACCATACGAATGTGACTGACTGGAAAAAATCGCTTGGGAGAGATCCCTTTGATCTACTGTTAACAATAACGCGTATCAAAGAGTACTAGTCGCATAAGGGAATTCGATTGGTAGAGTTGTCTTGTTTCATGCCGTTGTATAGACCGCACGGATAGTATGTGTCTCTTCGCATGGCAAGCCCAATTAAGCTTTGAACGTGGTAGACTATGTTTGTAGATTCAAGCCTATAACGATTTCGAGGCATTTCCTGCGCCAGGAAAAAGGCTAGGAACACAAGCTCATGATACCCGAAATGGTGTGAATCGGTTGGTTGTGGTGGTGCAAAGTCAAACGCCAAATACTAGTTACAATGCACCATGTATGCTAGTGATAAACAAGTCTGACTGGTGGGAAGGAGAAGCAGATTCTAAATATCGTGAAAGATTGCAACAGATGCTCAACACTGAATGAACTGATGACCGCAACGAAGTTTTGCTGTCATGGCTTTGGCAGAAATACCTGGACATGATAAGATGACGTCTGATCAAGAGGTAGAAGCTAGACACGGTCCTTGGGCAGCGGTATTAGTAACTACTACTACTACTACTACGTACTAGCGTTTCCTTATATCCGCTAATCCTTGTCGTACCTACAACCTCAACCCGCCATGTCAACGCGCGGAACCTTGGCCGGCAAAGTCATGAGGAATCAATAGCACGATAGAAACAATGGCTGGGAAAAGACAACACTCGCCTTCCCCAGCCCCACCAGAAATCTACTTTTCAACTCCAATCCATGAGCAGACGTCATCCTTCACAGCCGCCTTCTCTCCCTCTCTCAGCGCAAAAGCCCTCCAAGCGCTGCCCGAGTTCCACAGCGCAACGCACAGGATCGCGGCATGGCGCAAGCCCTCGCGGCAAATGTCACTAATGCCCGCGTCGCATACCCTGTACGACACGGGGCACGACGATGACGGTGAGAAATGGGCTGGAACACGACTCAGCAACGTACTGCGCGACACATCGACTTGCGGGACCGTGGTAGTTGGGCGCTGGTACGGCGGTCAAAACATAGGCCCCATTCGCTTCACGCATATTGAATCGAGTGCCAAGGAGGCGATTCGCAAGGCCAAAGCTGCAGGCGCTTCGTCATCCGACAGTGCGCAGCAAGCTTCGAGTTCTGCCAGCCACAAGAAGCAAAAGGTACAAGTAAAAGTACAAGAGGAAGGAGAGCAAGAAGAGGCTAGGCGCAAAGAGCTCATTAGCAACTTGCAAGAAAGAGATTACAACATCTTTGCGTTGCGCAAGCTGCTGAGCGAGAAAAAGGCAAGGTTGCAAGGCGAGGGGCGGGTGGAGCTGCCGACGCCTCAAAAGCTAATGGATTATGATCGCATGAGTATGGAGGCATTGGAAAGGGTGGACAAGGCACGGGATGCAACGATTGCGTTTATACTGAAGCAGATTGACAGGATAGAAGAGGAGGCGAAGCTTGCAGAAACATTGGATAGGGGTGGTGGGGAGGATGTGCTCAAAGATGCGGACAAGAACAAACAGGAAGAAGCACTAGCGACGCCTGAATGAAGTGCATCATCTTGGCCTGATTACTGTAAAAAGCGCCGTGGTATCTCGGTGGACATGAGTGTCACGTGGTATCATCAGACTAGGCAACGCATTCAAGACGTATGGGTGCACTTGCAATCCGCCATGACGAAATAGCTTAGAGGCTTGCCTCGACGACATGAGGGGAAGACATGTATACACAAACGGGGCCTTCCTGTGATGGCTGAGACGAAATCTAGACATTCTGGTGTAGCTATGCTTCCGCACTGCGCGAATAGATGGTCCAAGAGCCTATACAATAGTCTTTATATCGACGAACACAAGCTTTGCACTTGCACCCTAGAGTGCGATGGCACAGTCGGTGCAGGGAACTATGCCACATCTATATTACAAGCGTGATGAGTACATGTTGTTTCCGGGCCATGGCAGCAAGACGTCGGTGTCCCACTGGCCATGTACAGAGCTTCATAGAAGCAGTTCCAGCACACTGGTGCGTTGACCACCCTTCTCAACCTCGGCGCTCTCTCAATGGCTGATATTCCACCTCCCCTTCTTCAACCGCCTCATAATCATCTTGCGCCCCTTTTTTGTCCGCAGACGGCTCAAAAACCCATGCCTGCGCTTTCGCACCAAATGACTGGGATTGTACGTGTCGCGGGGTCCGCAGCGGATCTGCGTGCTGCCCAGGGCGGGATGCGCCGATATTCTGCCCACAAGATCTAGTGTTTCCGGGTTGGCGAAAGAGGACGAGCTGCCAGGCGGAGCCAAGGTTGACGGTGGCGAGTATGTTGCGGGCACGAGAGGACGGCGGGGTGAGAGGAGAGATATTTGGCGGGCTCGCGAGGGCGTGGATAGGCTGCAGAGAAGAGAAGAAGCAAAGGTCAGCCATGCTGGGTCACGTCGCGATACAAGAGGGCGTGCGCATACCGTTGTGCTGTTGCTGCTACTGCTACTGTGCCTGATGTGCGTGGTCTGAGGAGCGCACAAGAGCTGGTTGAAGCAACTCTCAGGCACCGGAAGGCGTTCATCCCGCCCCCTCTCTTCTCTTCTTCTGTATAATTGGAAAACCTTTGTTTTTGTTCTTTCTTTATATCCCTCTGCCTCTCTCAGCACTTCTCTTTTCCCTCGATTGACTTGCGTGTGCGTGGGTGTAAATGGTTCGTCGACTGCAGCGCCCCATTCTCCAGTCCGCAGACCAAAACTAATAGTAAAACATGGGTTGGGTGTCCGTGCGCAAAAAGTTGCACCTTTACATGCCCATGCACATGCTCATACCCAAGACTCTTTTCTGAATGTACCACTCAACCCAAGATTGATGTCTGCGCCATAACTAACTTTTCTCATTCTTTTATACAATTGCACAACCATGCTGCTTGAGGCACCCCCGCCCCGCCGCCAGGTATCCAGCGTGCCCGTGTCTCTCAACGACGCATCCGCCGTGCTGGAAAAGTACCTGCAAAACTCCGAGACACATGCGCACTTGCACCCCGACGCCCTTATCACTCCCGATGGCGTGACGTTCAACGCAAAGGGCGGCGCAGTGGGGAACCTGCTCATGCACCATCTGCGCCGTGTAGCTGCGGGCTTGCGCGGCGAGTATCTTGAGCCCGACACGACTCTCGAGGCCCAGGACGAGGCCCTGGACGCTGCTGCTGATGGCGAGGGCAGCAAAAATACAGGCGCAGATCAAGAGTGGCAAGACGCGGCCACCTACCAGGCCGAGCAAGGCGGCATCGAGATTGGCGACGTGGGCAACAGGACCAACGTCGTGCAAGAGGGTGAGCAGGAACCACCAGTGCAGATCAACGGCACCAAGAAGAGGAAGCAGGACCAGGCCCATGACCATAGCCAACAATCGCCCCCAGACGGACAGGTGGACAAGGATGCCAGGAAGAAGGCCAAGAAGGAGCGAGACCTGCAGAGGAAGAGGGATAATGCGGCAAAGGCAAAAAAGTCGGATTAGCCATCTTGCCATGCCACCACAGACCGACCGAGATGAGAGGCACTGCCACTTTTGCGCCGTCATATTGGAGCTACATGCTAGTACTACACCAATGGTCCGCACCCAATCTTGCTTCCACATGCCCGTGGCCTTTTTTGCCCTACATCGCACACTCACACGCACCACCACCACCCACCAGCGCCTACAGCTCCCGATCCGCTGCCTTTACAGCCTTGTCCTCGTCGGCCGCCTTGTCAACCACAATCTTCTTCTCACCAGTCCATTTCATAGCCTTGAGACGCTCCGTCAAAATGGGGTGCGAGTGGTGGAAGCTCGAGTAGAACCAGTCGGCATCCATGCTCGATAGGTTCTGAATCTGCAGCTTGATTAACGATGCGCCTAGCTCGCGCGCATATCCAAGTTTGACAGCAAAAGCATCTGTTTCATGTTAGTCTTGATCATACACACACACAAATACACAAACACGCAAGCATTTGAGCCACGTACCTGCTTCGTACTCCATGCTGCGGGTCCAGATGTTAAGGAGAAGCTTGACGATCGAGTCCGTGGGCGACAGAATCTCGTTGAAGAGCATGAAACCAACAATGGTCGGCTGCTCCCGGTGGAAGCCAAAGTCTGCGTACAGCGACCGGTTGTTGATGAAGACGGAGAAAAGGGCAAAAATGTAGAATAGATGCGCTTGGCTAATAAAGAGAAGTCGCGACGTGTGGTTCATCTTCCAGTGACCGAGCTCGTGTGCCAGTACAGCCTCGACCTCCTTCTCCGTGCTCTTTTCCAGCAGTGTGTCGTAGATGACAATCTTCTTCTTGCCAATCCAGGGTAGGCCCGTGAAGTAGGCATTGCTGTGAGCACTGCGCTTGCTGCCGTCAATGACCTGCAGCTCCGAAAGAGGAAAGTTGAGCTTGGAAGCAAGTGCCTCGACTGACTCCTTGAGTTTGCCGGGCTTGAGCGGCTCCAGCTTGTTGAACAGGGGCACAATGAGGATCGGGTAGACAGTCATGCCGGTAATCTGCACAACTAGCATGAACATCCACAGGTAGTAGAAAAAGCCCTGCCCCGTCTTATTGATAATGGCCAGGAAGGCGCTTCCAATCGGAATACCAAATGCAATGGCGAGCGCCTGGCCCTTGACCATATCCGTGAGCCAGAGCTTGACCGTCATCTTATTGAAGCCAAACTTTTCTTCCAGGACGAAGCTGTGGTAGTACGAGAAACCGAGACTGGCGACCAAGTCGATCCAGCCGAGCATGTACATGAACAAGAGCGACTGCGATATCTCGCCCGAAAAGCGGGCGGGCGCATAGCGGGCGAGGACAGTGCCGGCGGCGGTCCAGACAAACGGGTATAGGTTGAAGTAGAGAGAGGCTAGGTGCTTGAGCTGGTTGAAGACACCGGAGATGAAGCTGAACCTTGCTTTGGCGCGACCATATTGCTGCAGCCGTTGTCAGTTTCAATATCACGATTGGCGCCATGTCTGGCCTCAGTGGGGCGGCGAGGGGAGGCGCACCTGAGACTTGTCAAACGTTTCCTTTTCAATTTCCTTGTCAAGAGCCTTGGGGATAGAGGTGCGTTGGAGGACACGATACTGGCGGAAGAGAAGCCAGTTTTCGAGGGCAAATTCTGCGAGGGAGAAGCCGACAACCAGGCGCTTCCATGGGAATTGCGGCCGGTCGAGCCAGCGGGCCAGGCGCTGTAGTATGCGTTAGTGGTGAATGAAAAGGGAGGTAGTTTTAGGAGCAAAGGCAGCAATTGCAAGGCTAGACGTACCTGGAGAAGAGCCTGGATCATGGCGAAATGAGAGGTTGTTGGGTTTGGTTGTCAGACAACAGAGCACGCGAGATGAGGACAGAAAGCAGTGGTTGCGCGCGTCCGTCAGCAACTAGCGCCAGGGTCCTTGACGTAACCTAGGAAGACTCGTGTTGGCCTTGACACCACCACCACCATAGATATGTACATACACAAATACACATGCAATCAACATGCTCACTCCGACGACTTTGCAAGATATCACTCACTTCCGCTGGCATTACTAGCTGGTCTACATATCGCTCGTATTGTTGTTACACAGGACGCTTTTGCGCCTGCAACCACGATGTTCACCACTGCACCAAGTGCCTTGTTTGCATCTCATCTTGATATTTTACGTACTACATGCACAATTGGCGAGAAAACCTCCCCCTTCTACGTGACCCTTATGACTGATACTTCCAGTCAAACTGCTTCTTGAGCCTACCAAATCCAAGCCGAGGCTTGTACTCGGCCACCTTGTCCGCACCAAAGTCCCATATAGTGTAGTACCTCTGGAGTAAGGTAGTGCCAACAAGCGCAAATGAAGGTGCGTTGGAAGGGTCAAACGGTGGCATACATTGAGCTCCAGGCTTGAGTAATTCATCGCCGCGAATGCTAACTACGACATCGTTCTCGGGCGCACCTTCACCAAGGATTAGAGAAATGGCCCAGGATGCGTTCATGGCCTCGCATGTAAAGCGCTGCTTGCCGTTGAGCAGACTTTGGTAATCCCAGCCGAGATTGTAGTATATGGAATCAATCATATCTTCTGGCAGGGAAAGGCCGCCAGCTCCCGTGTCGAAAATGGCAGTGCCGTCGCCGAACGTTGACAAAGTCACATTGGGTGACTCTATGGCATTGCCAGAAAACTGCGTCGTGGGCAGTTTGCCAATGTGCGTCTCGACTGTGTGGTTTGGGTTGGACGGGTTCTTGGCGACCAGTAGGTTGACAGCCTTCAACGGTGTGCGCCATAGATCATACTCGTTGTTGACCTTCTGCAGAGGAGCATAAACCACCTGGCCATCAACAAACTTGTCCTCGTGACTGTCGCCAATGCTCAGTACACCGTCCTGAGGGCCCTCGTCTCCTAGGTTTGTGCCATAGTATAGGCCGAATCGGGGTTTGTCTAGCTTGCCATCCCATAGCAGCGTTTCGACCAGTGTCGACGTGTTAGGCTCTGCGATGGTAGAGAAGCCAAGGCCCAGAAAACCGTCTGCAGTGATCCAAAGCCATGAGCTCTTATTGACTGCAATGAATGACTGGTTCCATTCCACGGACCCATCTAGAGCGCTGAAGACATCCTGATAAATTTCGCCCTCAACGTTACCGCCCAAGTAAGGAATTGTGGCGGGAATGCCAACATCGACGGCCGTGGATGATGCCGATGCATTGTAGTACCGTCGTTTATACAGCTCCGTGCTTCCTTCTGGACACGAGTCTTGTGTGCAGTCAGTGCTAACGGTCCAGAGGGTTGACGAGCCGGTATCGAACAGTAGCTGGTGTTCTTTCGGGGGCGTGCCGATGTCGAACTTGACGCTGCTGTATGTGCTCTTGATGACAACGGGCAGGTCGAAGACGGCTGCCGAGGCAGTGCCGGCAATGGCCAGAAACTTGTTGACGCTTCCCACCATGATGGATACTGGTGTTTAAAAAAAAACTGGCTTTATTAGTACCAGGCGACGGAGATGCTAATATGAGACAGAATTCCAGGAGGTGACAAGTCTGCGTATGTACAGACGCAAACTATATAGGGTCTCTTAAGGCAATGATGAACATCGTATAACTTATAATGCCGGTAGTTCCGGCCAGGTCTAATTGATTAAGGAGGCTAGTGTGATGTTATTAATACCCTCAACCTAACTTAGCGCTTTCGTATAGATGGGGAACAATCTCTTTGCCCCCACTCTCGCACGTAATATAGAGGCATTAAACACACTTCAAAAAAAAAAGCCCTCGAAGAGGATATAAAAGTCATACCAACGTATCTATTTTTCCACAGTGCAAGGTATGCGAGGGTATATTGAGCTCAGCTCAAGCAATCATACAAGAGTGAATACCACGATTGACTCTATGTGTTCCAAAAGTCAACGAAACAGCAGATGGAATGGCGTGACGTGCTGCGCTAGAACAATGAAAATGATATCATTGCCAGATAATCATAAAGCGGCACAAAGACCGCAGAAGACGAAGGCCCCCTGAGGAGACATGGTAAGTTTCGACCATGATTTTAGCGCAAAGTTCCGAAGAGGCCCATGCCCTCTGATCTGTGGGTTACGATGTAGCCTCATGCCGGTGGTTACGACTGCATGCACTATTTGTAATGGTTGCGACTGAAGAATAGTGGTATACTGCATATGTATGTATGCATGTAGGTAGGTACATACATGCATGCGTAAGTATATAGCATGTAGTGTACACTACACTGTAAGGTGCTGGTGCATGACTCATGCACGGCAATGACGTGCATACTGCATTTGAACGTTGCCACGGCTGCTGCGCCACACTGGGCCCAGGTGGCGACAAGCCTCTCCTTTCCCCAACACTATCACATTACATACATATTGCAGCATCCCTTGACCTTGACCGCTCCTCCACCATCCCCATCCCACCCCTACGACCTACCGCTTGTTTTACTCTCTCAAATTGCACGCATCATGGACGAAGATCTCATCGCCTTTGGCATCGTGATGCTACTCTTTCTCTCTTTTCCCTTTCTTACCGTCCTCAGCATCACCGGTTGCATCGCATACTCGCGCACAAAGGTCTGGGACAAAGCCCGCAACCAGCGCGCCGTCAGTCTCGAGTCCTCGGAAACCAATCGCCTTGTCGACGATGGCGACAACACCGATGACTCGGACTTTTACGACACCGAGGACGAGGAGGAGCACAAGCAGCGCCAAGCTGAAGACGAGGCTGACAAGCACATCACTTTCGGCCAAAAGTTCCGCAAGGAGTTTAGGAAGGTTTGGACAGGCAAGGGAAAGAACGATCTCCTGAAGCAGAAGGAGAGGGAGGAGAGGAGGAAGTTGGCCAAGGCGGTGGCGAGGGAGTTGGATCGCCGCGAGAGGAGGATGGCCAGAAGCGCTGCCGCCAAGGTGCAGTCCTCTGAGGATCTGCCAGCCTACACCAAGGCCTAATCTGGCTACGTCTAGTCTAACCTTTGCTATGGAGTTGTATTACACAACATGCGCAAGGTAGACGGATTTCTCTTTGCTCTAAATTGATACCCGTTCTTCTTTTTGGGATATTCATCAGAACCGACGTGCTCCATTCATGCTCACCAGTATACCGTGATTTGAAGACTGCATGTGCCGTCAAATACTATAGCATTGAGAACTGAACGTCCAACTCAAATCCTATCGTAGCCACAACCCCTGCGCTTGCAAGTCTAATTGAATTTGATTTTTGAGGCAAACCTTCTTTGCCTCCAACTCTAACCCTTACCCTTACCCTGCTCCTGTTGTCTTTCAAAGTCTTTCAAACAACACGGCAAAACACTTGTACGACACGTGCAATTGCTGTGAGACAATGTACATTCTCCCACGCAGCATAAATCACCATTAGGTTCACAGGTTCTTTGGACGCAAACTTCGTCTCTAGCAGAGCGTTTGCCAAAAGGATTTCTGGCCGAATCGCGCGTGTCTAGCATTATTGTCATAAGAAACAATAGGGAGTAGTGAAAAGATTAGAGTCTCGCTGTTTGAAGGGTGAGATATTCCGAGCCCGCATAGTTTGGTTGTGCGATCTTTCATTTGCCTATTACTCTAAACCACACAGTTATTTTGCGCATCGCACCAGTATAACAACTAGCTGTCTCTCTCCGGTACATCCGCATACTGATATGCACACTGTTTGGACTCTACACTAGCAGGGACTAGAAACAGCAAAGGCTCTACTGAATCTTCAAGAAGAAGTTTTTAGTAGGTAGCCTCTAGCAACAAGGTCAACTGCGTCTTCAGCTGACGCGGGGTCGAACGTAACGTCTTTGGCGAATTCGTTCAATATGAGGAAAGCTACTAGAATACGGGTAGGCGAGGATGTCTCGCTCACCTAGGTCCAAAAATTGCACATGTCAATAGGGTAGTCTGTTACTCAAAACAAGGGACAGGGTAAAGTGAGGGCAGTCTTTGTAGATAGCGGCATTTAAATGTCTATATCCTCCAACGAAAAGCATTTCTTGGACTTCTTCAACTTTCTAAATGATGAGAATCCAACCGTCCTGTAACCCTTTACCTCGGCCTCGCGACTATCTAAATTCCACCTTCCGCAATTACATGGCTACTAGCACGATCATGCTATTTATATGTACTACTATGCTCGCTCTGACCCCAACCTCACTAATCTAGTGCATCCCAACAGTGATGCTTGTAAAGCTCTCCGAATCCCCGTCGATATAGATATTCCCTAGCTTATATTAAACGTATAACACAGACTTTGGCGAGGTCTATATTACTGACACAAAGGGTCCTTTCTATCATAAGAAATGAGAGCATTGATGTGAGACGTTTAAGTTGAATAAGGCACAGGTAGAGAGTAACAAGAGTTGTCGTGGGGTAAACAGTCTTGATTCACGTAGACGAACAGCTACCGAGCTCTGGTAGTGTTCCTCAGGCTTATATACGTTATAGCGAATAAGAGCTGACCAATAGTAGCTAGAACATGCTGGAATAACCCGAGGTAGCTGGGAAGCTGACGGGGAAGGTCATGCCCTGACAATTGAGTGGAATCTCACGCGTAAGACGATGCTTCCATTTTGACGGTAGTGAAAGACTTCTAATGACATCTGTGACTTACTCTTATCCCGTTTTAATTATCAGTCTCGTACTAGGCATTGTTCGTTGAGTAGCGGTTAGCCAAAAGCACCCAATTCTGTGGCAATACTCAGCTAGCTGCCGACATGAATCCGAGGGAGGCGAATTGTGATAGCTGTTCCATGTGTCTAACCCGATCCATATCCGTTCTCTTGAGAATGAAAATGTTCAGCTTGCCGATCTATTGTCCATGACATCAAGATCAAATAACGCTTTCCCTTGCTTCTACTCACAACCGCCGGGTTGGTAACCCGATCGACGTTGTCTGATGCTCTAGGCTGATTCTAGATAAGTACCTACAAGTCAAGCCGCCTATATTGAAGTTGACGCCTGCCTGTTGAAGGTCCCAAGACCGGAATCGCTCTAGCCTGAGGGGCTGAGAAAGGTCCTCAGGAACTTTATGCCAAGTCGCAGCTCGTTAGTGAGACGGGTGAGATTCTCCTGGACATGGGTTTCCTGAAATGCATTTCCTGTCAAGGTCAAGGGAAGTTGGAGGAAGAAGGCACACGTAAGTAGTAGTAGGTACAGAATGTACTAGAAACCGGGGTAAGCGGCCTGGTTAGCTTGCCGGCTTTCCCGTGAAACCCATTTGAACGACACACAGGGCCGGGTCGTGCGATCGGGACCAAGGTGAGCATCGCAACCAGTCGAGTCTCGAGATGGCTGCGATTGCGATCAATTCTCACAAAGCGACGTAGCATCTTGATCGCATCGAGCTGCCGATCACGATAGGGGGAGTAGTAGCTTACACGCGCGACTCGATTCGTAAGACTACTATGGAAGCAAAGGAACCGAGTATGCCGTACTACCTTGCCCTTGTGCCTTCATACCTTAGCTTCGGTATGCACCAAGATGAAATTGTGGCGAACTTTCAGAATCTTGCGGATGCGTCGCCAATTCCTCTTGTCCTATACAACTCTCCTGCTCTTGTCGTAGGTCTCGACATCAATTCGGAAATGCTAGACTTTCTCGGCTAGTATAAAAAACATTGTAGCAGTTAAACTCACGTGCGACGGCGTAGCCAAGGTTGGCAGGATAAGCGCAAATTTGTAAAATAAAAATAAAAAATACAAGTTTATTGCTGCAGCAGGTCAAAGTGACTGGCTGGTTCCTGGCACTGACCGCCGGTGGCGTCGGGACAATCGTTGGCGTGGTAACCAAAGTGAGTCGTCAGCAAAAGCATTAGGTACGTAGGGATCCGGAAATCTAGCACCCCGGCCTTACATACATACAAATAATCTTTACCAGTAGGGAAAACACGCTGAAGAGTCCGCCCTATAGATCAAGCTTTGTATCACCGAATGGGAGTTCGCCAAGGGCGAAATCAACGGTATCGAGTTTGTTGTTGCACACAAGAGGGTTTACCTCAAAAGCAGTGTCGACTGCAGGAACCCATATCCGCCGTGTACCGACGCAGGGAAGAAGAAGAACAAGAAGGAGGAGTGGGGTATAGATCAGGTATCGGGTTTGAATGGGCTAGAGACATCGCTGTAGTTGTCTGAGACAGCACCATACCTAGACTTATCATTATTCTCAAAGACATTCTTTGTCGAGTAACAAGTATCTACTTCAGACCACACAACTCCGTACTAACGTTCCGAAACCCATTGCGATGCGTTTTAATTGATTTACTGTGACTCTGATGTCGCTCCAGGTCACGCTGAGACCAAAGTCGTTGTCTGAGGCAGACCAGGACTGAGATAGTCGTACGAACATGTGATGTCGTGTTTCGCCTATAGTAAAGCGAGCTGTGAGTACCCAAATGTCAGGCTACGTAGCAGGCCACAGGTGCTTAACTAATGCAAAGAATCCAGAGCTGAGCATAGTGCCTTGTCGCTAGCCTAAACCCTGCTTGGTATATTATGCGCCCTGACCTACCTGGACTTGGACACGACTAAATCACCCGAATTCAGCTAACTTGATGCGGTACAACTTGAACTCAGGGCAGCAACGATGCTCCAGCAAAAAAGCGTACGTGGGGCCCCCACTTAGTTGATTGTTTCCGGTTCCGTAACTAGCCAACAGTACATCCTGGTCTGAACAAAGTGCTAGGCTCTACACACACTTTTGCATTTTGACTTGTCTTGGTTCTTGTTTTCTTCTAGAAGCCTTAGTAGCAACCTCGCCACTTTTCTCAACCGACTCAAACTCTCTCCAGCCTGCTCCAGGTGTCTCTGGTTGGATTCCCTCCAGTAGTGTTTTCGATATCACAAGAACGCTTCATACTCGTTGTCCTTGCTTCTTGGCCCGATGTTGGCATCGGTGAGGCAAGACCGGATGGATATGCAGACGATCGAGAATGCGTATGTCAGATCGAGAATTTATATGTCCCGTTAATCTTGCAAACTCCGATGGAGAAATAAAGGCCCCGCTTGTTTTACATGTGCTAGGCCTAAAAACAGTAGTACAACGGGTAAGACTAGCGAGTGTCTTAGCTAATTTGAGATAACTCTGTATATTAGACTAGGCAAACCCTGGAGGGTAACGCATGATACGGCGTTGACGGCAAGTAAAAACGGGTTATGCTGCAGTTGATACAGGATTAATCCAACATTGCAATGTGACGGGTTGTGGGGCTACAAGACACTAACGGTTCTGGACAAGGGCCCCAAGTCGCCGACGCCTATGCCTCGCCTGGAAGGTCGACCGATTTTCTGACAACCCACTGTCAGGTCCTCCCCTCTTCCGGGGTAATAGTACCTATCGTCGTCTGGTTCCGCTCATTCGCTACCGATCCTGCGTCATTCTACACAAGTGCCGGCAACCAGGCCTCCCTGTAACTCAGCCCCAGGACCCTGTTATACCAAACTCACCCTGGCAACATGTAGATACACATTGTCGCGATGCCATAGTTTCCCCGCATTGTCGCCGTTACCCACTATAGTGTTTGTCGATCGTTGAACCGCGAGGCAGCCTTTCTCCTTTGTGAATATAAGACTATACCTTACCAATACCACATTGATTGTACAATTAAATGTCTATTCGTATTTTCCTAGTCTCACAGTCTTTGTGAAGATAGAACAATCATGTTTCCTTCACAGCAAAGTCCTACCACTCCACGTCCTCGCCAACAGGCTGGCTTGGCCTGCGATGAATGTCGTAGGCGAAAGCTTCGCTGCGACCGAGAGCAGCCACAATGCGGGTTATGCCGAGACTCTGGCGTCGTGTGCAATCGAACAACAACCAAACAGCCTCGCGGTCCAAAGAAAGGTCATCTGCGAGCGTTACAGTTGCGCATAAGTAAGTGTGTTCACCTGCTTCTATTTCCGGATGCTGACAAGCCTACTACTAGTGGCCCTAGAACGTCGTCTGGGCGATCAGACTCTGGGCGAACAAACTGAAGACGACCTTCAAGCTCTTCAAGATGCAAACATGCCCTACCCGTCATCGATAGAGCCGCCAACTAATGAATGGATCGCTCTTGATGTCTTCAATGAAGTGCAAGAGAGCTCAGCCAACAGCTCATCCGACAGTTCCGCAATCGAGTACTTTCCACTACCTGCGCCATTAATTGAGAACCCCACTATGGGACAAATCTCGGATGTCATCAAACATGACCTGTTTGTGTCCCAACCATTACGTGATAGTATTACACGACTAACTTTCGGTTGAATGACTAGTGACCATCTTTACTTTGATCGAGCGCATAACTTTTGTCCCATTCTCAACAAGCGGCACTATTTCGACAGAGCAAGGCAAACCAGCATGGACAACAATGTGACGGCATTCTCCGGTCTACGGTACACAATGTGGACAGTAGCCGCATCGACCTCGAGCCAGTTTCAGCATGTTCAAGACGAACTGTATGCAAACGCAAGAAGGATCCTAGATAGCCTCGAGATGGATCCATCAATGGATGACTGCATTCGGGTGGAGCATCTCCAAGCGTGTACACTGCTTTTTATCTACGAGTTAATGCATGTCAACTATAGACAAGGCTGGATGAGTGCGGGCAAGCTTTTCCGGTCCGCTATACTGCAAAAGCTTCACACGGTCGATGGGCGTGACGAGCTTTCTGCCAATTCATCGCTAACAGCAACTGAAATCGAAGAGCGAAGAAGAACTTTTTGGATGCTCTTTGTCATCGATTGCTTTGTCAGTCTCATGGACCAGCTCCCGTTGACTTTCAACCAGCATATAGTGGGTGCTACCCTGTTCTTCACAAAACCCGAGAATGTAGTCATGGACCTAACAAAGTAGCTAGATACTAACACGACTACCCATGCCCGAAGCAAACTTCCAGAACAACGACCCAATCGTCATGCCGTTGCCATCACAAGCTCGGGCAGATGACGAACCCCAAGCACCATCCAGTTTTACCGAGTCCATTCGACAGGCCATCCTGTGTAACCAAAGCCTATCCCATTATCAGCGCAGCATGGTTGAGCAAGAAGCCCAGGGTGCATCCAGTCTCGACTTTTGGACACGCCACCAACGCCTCGAAACCAGCATCACTATGAACTTGGAGCGCTTGTCGCTGCAAGACCATTGCGCAAATCTGCACCTCGACTCCCTGCCGCTCCTCACCCACATGACGACCCAAGCAGCCATCATAACAATGTACAAGACGATGCAAACATCCCTGACCCAATCCGAAATAAACACACACCAAGATGCTATTGGGAAGCTAAGTCACATGGTCCTCCCCGCCGCCCAACGAATGACTGCTCTCTCCAAGGAGCTGTCGGAACTGAGCTTTTTCCAGGTAATACATATTCTTCCCACATTTAGTCTTTGTTCTTTTATAGGATCGCCATCTAGAATTAGCAGCTAACAAGTGTATCTCAGGTCCATCCATTCATTCCCATCCTTCTCTATCATTGCATCGACTTTCTATGCTCCCACTCTTATCTCGACCCCGTTTTTGAACTACAAACTGCACTTTATAGTGCGCTGCGGGGCCTAGAAAACATGAGCAAGATTGCAAATGACTGTCTGGTCCGCCTCGAAATGATGTTCCCTTCCGTTTTGAGCAAACTGGGAAACTTACACTTTTTAATCGTATGAACTTGTTTGGTTAGATGCACACATATGCCACAGTCAGACTGGTGATTGCATTTTTCTTGGGGGGAGTTGTTGTTTCTATCAAGGTTTGCTTTTGTCTGATATCCCAGCGTTGCATTGGAGAGGATTTTACTGTATATCACATGTATTGGACAGTCACTATGGGTATGAAATGAATGAACGATAAGTACAGGTATGCTATGCAAGAGTAGACAGCGCACTTCGGAATCCTCCTTGCACAATCATTAGTGTGATCCAAGACGATCTTCCTGCTCGCAGAGAAACACGAGAACCTCCATTTCACAACGTGTACAAGAAATCTGGCCTCTGATCTCCCATCTCCACTACCTCCCTCTCGCTCTTCCCCTCAATCCATTGATCTCTACGCCCCTGTCTCCTCTTCTTGTTTTCCCAAGCCAGCAAGAAACGCGTAATGATGCTCCCGAAGAAAAGCCACAGGGTAAGGTAAGCTATTACCACACCGTGGCCAAGAAAGTACCTTGGTTTATCTTTGCTGCGGTAGATGTTCGATGATACGACACCGTTGATGTTGCCCCAGCCAATCACGAAACCGAGAGTGACGCCCCGTTTGTAGACGCCTTCAACATTGTTAGCGCACCAGGAAATGGTGTTTGCGATTGTGGCTGGCGATTGTCAGCATGAGTCTGCTATATCCTAACTTGTACGCACGATAGATGCCAATGGCGCCCAAAAAGGTGCCTGCATACTGTACATGTGGGTTTCCAGTTGCAATCAGCATGGCGAACCCGATGATGCCAAAGATGGATACGAATATGTTGCAGTAGCCTCGCTGTTGGGTACGGTCTGCAATATACCCGACTAATACTGTCACCATGGCGGCAACTGCGTATGGGGGTACAGAGAGCAGGTTGGCTGTTGTCGACTTGTAGCCCAAGCCTGCAATGATAGATGGTAAGAAAAGACTGAATGCGTACAGTGAGCCATCAGCTCCCATGTAAATAATAGCAAAGGCAAGTGTTTTCCAGTCTTTGACCGACTGCCAGAAATACTTTGTCTGAAATTCTTCGTGACCCGACGACGCCTGCTGGTCGGCACGGAGACGTCGTAGGACGCGGGCCCGGTCGTCGGGACTGAGGAATGTGGCTTCGGCTGGGAAATCATGGACCATCCAGTATGAAGTCACCCCTACCAAGATTGTGGCAAGACCTTCAAGTATCTTTGTTCAGTTAGTGTATTCCGAAAATGAACATTATGTAAGTACTGTTTTGCCTTACGAATATCCAGGCCCAACCGGGTTTCCCCCCCACACCATGCATCTGAGCAATACCCGCAGCGAGAAGTCCCCCAAAGCTGCCAGCGAGCGCTGCTGCTGAGAAAAACACGGCAGCACGTATGCCGAATTCTGAACGCTTATACCAACAGCTGAGGTAGTAGTTAACGCCGGGGAAAAGTCCTGCTTCCGCCACACCCAACCACCATCGCTATTTGCCGTCAGCAGAGTACAAGGTATCGATCTATTAGCACTACCATGCCACCTACAGCTGTCATAAGCCCTGCATAGTTGTGAACCAGTCCCATACAAGTCATGCATATACCCCACCAAAGCATGATGATGGGCAAAAACACACTTGGCCTCATTTTCTTCAGTAGAACATTGGTGAGCGGCTCGAATACCGAATAGCTGACAAAGAAGATGGTGAGACTGTTATTGTATTGGTTGTCAGTCATACCGAGATCTTGCTGTAGGCCGTCGACTTTTGCATTGCCAATATTTGTGCGATCGAGAAAAGAGATCAGGTACAGAAAGGAAAGCCAAGGGATGAGATGCAGGTCGATTTTTCGAAGTAGCATTTTGTCCTGAGCAAAGATTAAATGTTTGCGGTAGAGAATGAGGGCATGCTGGGAAGGGACCGTACGTGGATGGCGCGCTCCTCTTCAGTAAGGCCAGCATCTGGATTTGGAAGATTCTCAATGGTATTAATATGTCCAGTGGACTCGATATGCGCCTCACTACTTCCTTTTTCCATCGGTTTTTCGCTTGTATGTTCAGCTGCAGAAGCCATTGTATCAACTGCTTGTGTTGTACTATACTGTGCGACTAGATGAACAATGCGCTCACGCCGAAATGAACTCGTTCCGAAATTCAAACGGAGTGTTCGCTTCCCGAGCCGTGGGATGAAGTATTATGTATCTGGGCTTTTGCTCGCGCCCAACTGCGAAGTCGGCCATTCTTAAGCACATCACTATGCGTGCCGACCCCATCCGGACATCGGGAATGAGCTGGGGTATCATTGTTCCATGAACATCCGGCCACGTCTAGCGTTTGGTCCCCTCACGTGCACATCTTCCATCCTATGACGCTCACAAGAATTAACCGCTGTGGGGTTTTGAAAGGAACAAGACCCCACCAGGGCCAGTCAGTGACGTGCCGATCTCTTACCACCACGCCGCCCCGATGCCATAGGTTATTCTGAACCTTCTCTGTGTCACACATTCGAGACAATGTCCGCACATGTATCAGGCGCTGATAGCAGGTCGTTCTCAACGGTGCAAAATGCTGGGAACAGAGCCACTGTAATAGTAGTGTAGAAGCCCAGAAAGGATGCTGCGTGATTGCAGACTAGAGATGCGGGGTGGTGGGACTCCGTGGCTAAACAAGCATGCACAAGCATTGCGCTTGACGTCGACTTCATTCTCTTACGTGTACACTAAAAAAAAGGTTGCGGGTATCTGCCGCGGCAATGCTTAATACACCATCTCATGCATGGCTGTGCGGGGTTAATGAGGTTATCTTTGATGTGTCCACGCCGAACTGCACGCGACTTGGTTTAACACTATCGAGTACTTCCAATTACTACGTTCGCTCTCGAATCCATGGAACCATTTTATAATTTCAGAAACGCGTTGGTGGCTTCAACACTGTCAACCCCCCAATCTTTCTTTTATCCATTTGGCAAAGTCGATAGCCATTTCTCTTCCAGCTAACGAGATGATTAACACCGGCAACGCATAAAGGAAATGCGAAGAGATGAGTTTCTGGAGTGACTCTGCCAGGTGTAGGGTCATGTAGAGTTTTTTTTGGTGGTTTGAATGTACGGGAACAGGGACTCCGCTGTGGGTAGATGGTAAGTTTTTGCGATTCGTTCTTGGAATTGTTTTTCAAGTCGAACTTCGAAGGAGGCGTACAAGTTTTGTCAAGTTTTGTGATTTTTGGTTCCATATTGGGTAAACGACTTCAGTTGTTAATGGTGAGAGAGATAGTGTAGGGTTTCAGTTGTAATGATTAACACTGAATATGAGCCCCGTACATACATAACATGATGATAATCCAAGCAACACAAGAAGCAAATCTTCGGATTTTGTAGCCCTAAAGTACTGGATTTAGATATCGTGACAAACGCCGCCCAAATGCAAGTGGTGGTAGAAAGGATGCTCGCGTAGAAAAGGACAGCCGGTGGAGCTCAAACAACAGTCTTGCGAGCCTTGATCTCGTTAGCCCTTTGCTTTCTCAGATTCCTTCGAATCCTCTCCTTCCTCTCTTGGCGGTTGTCCGCCCTCTGGTCATGCGCCTCGCCGGTCGCGCGTTCCTTCTTCTCGTCAACCTCGACCAACCAGTCATTCTCCCCGTCCTTGTTCTTGCCCTTGTAGCCCCACTTGGGAACCCACTCGCCCTTGGTCTCGTCATAGACCAGGTTGCTGTCACGCTTCTGCTTCTTGATGCCCTTCTTGGCGGCAAACTTTTCCCATTTGGTGGGTTCCTTGGCGGAGGGAATAGGCTTCTCGCGAGGGAGAGGTGTGGTTGGCGCGGGAAGGACCAAATGTACGCCTTCCGAGGTGGACTTGACCTGGCAGGTAGACAGAAGCTGGTTGATGAGTGCTTGGGCGGCATCGCGGGCAGTGGCTTTGAGTGCTTCTTCGTCGGCGCCGGCGGGGATGGGGTTGGGGTCGTTTGCGAGCAGGTTTCCCAGGTCAAATGTAAAGGGTGTGGGTTTGTCGACAGTAATGGGACTGGGTCGGGTGAGCATATAGTGGGCTTACAAGAGGGGAAAATGCACAGCTTACAGTCGGCTTGAGATGGTCGAGTCTGCGACCGAGTGGACGTCCATGGCGCCTCCATTGATTTCGTCGGCGAGCTGCGACTGCGTAGGTGATGTGACGCCCAATGCGACGCCGCCTCCCATTTCTGTGTCTGACATGGTTGTTGGATCTGTTTGTGTGTCGAGTCTTGTCTTGCCGTGGGATGCGCAAAAAGTTAATGTTGTGCCAGGCGGAGAGATCAGAATAATTTTTGGAAGTCGAGGGCCCGTGCACATGCAGCGGACCTCCGAGCGTGCGGGCATCACATCACAGAATTCAATCTTCAGCACCACAACAAGTCGCCCATTGCGGAGGGCCTGATCGTCATTGGCCTACCATGCCTCCTTCAACATGTCTGCGCAGCTTTTCGCAGCTGTCCCTTGATACCACACCCGCTGTGCCTCGCCTGCTGCGCCCACATGTAGCCTGCTTTTCCACATCGTCGTTGCGATATGCCGCCGTGGCCAAGAAGAAGGGCATGGCGGCTGCCCCCAAGAAGGGTGTCAAGTCCCTCAACACCAAAAAGGGCAAGAAGGCGCCTAGTGCGGGTGATACGGGAAAGAGACCGGCCCAGGGTGAAAGAAAGGCTCAGCGAAAGCGCATTGTGTTGAGCAACGACAATGCTCTTGAAGTGTCTTCGCTGCAAGACCTGACCAAGAACAATGTGCTCAGCGATAAGAACGAGGGCAAGGTCATGGGCCTGCCACAGGAAAATGTCGTGGATGCGCTGAGAGCCGTTGAGGCTTTCAAGACGTCCCAAGGATGGAGCCTCTTCCGCCGGCCCGCCGTGTTGATGCGAAAGGAAGCAATTCAGCTAGCGAAGCTGTTCAAGGACGTAGAAGACTCGGCAGCCGGCCAAAAGAAGACTGTGCGGAGGATATTATGCGGCGAGAGAATGAGTGGGAAGAGCACTCTGCTACTCCAGGGTCTGGCTATGGCCTTCTTGCGCGACTGGTTCGTGATCAATCTCCCAGAAGGTATGTGTCATTTTAAGTCTCGGGAAACATAGGTTTGCTGACATGATCCAGCGCAAGACCTTGTCAACGCTCACACGGAATATGCCCCTCTCCCCGACTCAGAACCGCTGCAATATACCCAGGATACATATACAGCCAACCTTCTCCAGCAGATGCTCAAAGCAAACGGTGCCTTCCTTCAAGCCACAATTCTCAGCACAAAGCCCGACCTTCCTCTCCCGCTCGCTGCAAAGGCAACTCTGAAAGAACTAGTCGCACTTGGCGTAGCCAATCCCGAGGTCTCATGGCCAGTCTTCGTAGCCCTATGGAACGAGCTTTCATTGCCAGGGCGCCCTCCAATCCTATTTGCCCTCGACGGACTATCCCACATCATGCGCCACTCCGAGTACATGTCTGCCCAAGTGAAGCCCATCCACGCGCATGATTTGACACTTGTGCGCCACTTCGTCGACCACCTCTCTGGGCAAAAGAAATTCGCCAATGGTGGAGTAGTTCTGGGCGCAACATCACAATCGAACTCTCCTACGTCTTCCGGTCTAGACTTTTGCATCCAAGTAGCTCAGGCTCGCAAAGTGTCGGCCGACAAGGTCCCACAATGGAATCCGTACAAGAGCGTGGACGCCCGTGTCATGGAGGCTCTCAAGGGTCTGCACGACAATTCACCAGAGTTCAATATCATCGAGGTTGGCGGGCTAAGCAAGGAGGAGGCGCGATCGATCATGGAGTACTATGCCGAGAGCGGCATGCTGAGGCATCGAGTCGACGAGGGCTTTGTGACAGAGAAATGGAGCTTGGCGGGCATGGGCAACATTGGAGAGCTGGAGAGGGCCAGTGTGCGGATGCGGCTGTAGTTGCTGTACTATAGATATTGTAAAATCATCTACTAGGCCCAATGGCAAGCGCGCGTTGACGCGTCACGTGAATCAATTACAGTTGTTGGGCAAGGGCCAGAGGTATGTTTAGACCCACGGGTTTGCCTAGTGCGCCAATCCAGGCCATGAGGTATGCTTCTGCCGTCGTGTCCTTGTGCAGGCTGGCTTGCATGACCTGGGCAGTCTGGCACGGATGGATGAAGAATACCGGTGTGTTAGTGATTGGGTGTTCCTAGCAAATGTGAGTTCTGGTTTTTGCTGTTGTTCATTGTCAACGTCTAGCCATACAGCCATGGATATGCCTCCGATGACGCCCGTGTTGGTGTCTTGTGTCTGGGGCCTGAAGTGCGGCACGACAAGATGGTCGTACAGAGTGGCCATTGTGGGGGGATAGCGATGCAGCGGGTCCTGTATGCCAAAGTACAGCACTGGGACTTGGTAGACGGGAGAGAGTACAGCATCGTAGACGACGATTGCCGGGGGCACTGCAGTCTCGTTCAGAGCCTCCTATGCCATGTCAATCAGTGGCCTGCTCCACCAGCTCTACCACGCCAACCCACCTCGTCGTCTTCTGCCACATCACCAAGCCCGTCTAGGACGCCGTCTGCGTCTTGCATGGAGCTGTTGCTAGAGGGTAGTCGCCGCGTGAGGGGCTTGGTGATTCGCAGCACAACGGTGCCATGTCGGCGCATCTTCTCCGCAGACAGCCACTCGGTCTGCATGCTGCGCACGCACTCGAAGCGTTGCAGCAGATGGACACAGGCCTGCTCAAACTCTGCTTCGCCAAGGCAGGGAAAGGCGGCTGGCATGGCGTGATGCAACTGGCTGTGGACGACGGCGATGTGTAGATGCGTATGGTATGTAGTATGTGTGCAAGTAGCATGGAGGCTGATGTCGCAGCGGGGAAGCTGGCCGGGCCAGTGAGGCGAGCCCCTGTCGCGTCCACAGAAGCTAGCCAGGGCTCGGCTGCCTGGAGCGAGAGGCCTGGCGAGGATATGCGAACAGTCGAGGCTAGTCGGCCTCAGTGTAGCCTAGTAGCCCCAACTCTCCGCCCTCCTACTCGCTTCCTCCATACAACCCATCTGCTCCACGATGCCATCCTAGACGCGATCGTCTGAGCCGCCTGCATTGACCGTCGCTGCCTCGACCCACCCGCTCACCTTACTCACCATCCCTCTTGGTCACCATGCCGGCGCAAACAGAGAAGAGCCAGCTCAAGCGAGGCCGTGTATGTCCCCAATGCTCCCAATGATGCACTGGCCACGGGCGGATTGCTAACACTGCAATCGCGACAGCTGTCTCAAGGCGAGCAAGTCGAGCCCAAGAGGACCCGCCACTCGCGCCTTTCGCCTCCTGCAAACGCTAGTCGCCTGAAGCAGGGCCCGCTGCCTTCGCCCGTCACCAACAAGGAATCCACCGGCGACCCGTCGCAGGATCGCAAGGAAGGAACACAGAGTCCCCCTTCTACCCGTGGTCCCAGCCAGGCTGCACGCGGCGGCCTGTCGTCGCCACCGCCCTCGGATACCCAGCCCTTTTCGCAGTTCGTCTACCCGCCCGAAACCCGGGCATATGCAGTCGAGGATGAGGAGGGCGAAGAGGTGTGGGGTTATCTGGTGCCCATGGACGGCAGTGCTGGCGATGTAATGGTTTTGCGCCGGAGACAGGCCTGTCCAGTTCCCAGCACAATCGTCGGGCAGACCAATGGCAAGGAGCACGTAAGCAAAGGCGAGTATAAGGACCAGGAAGAGCATTACGAGAAAGACAAGCAAGAGCGCGGTGTTCCTGCGGGTGGATACCTCATAGGCCGCCACCGAGAGTGCGGTAAGTCTGCCATGGTGCAATGTGTAGCAAGCTTCCTCTGACGTGCCCAAGACAAGGTGCTAAACTCTCCAACCGTTTCCAACCGCCATTGCCTATTATTCACAGAGAAAAAGGGGGGCGACGTCGTTGCGGTACTTGAGGACTTGTCGGGCAATGGAACCTTTGTCAACGATACGTTTGTCGGGCGGAACAAGCGACGCGAACTACGTGAGGGCGACGAAATCGCCATCCTCGACGAAGCCCGCTACATCTTCAGATACCCGCTCAAGCGCAACACACACCGGTTCCGACAGCAGTACACCATACAGGAGCAACTGGGCAAGGGCCATTTTGCATCCGTCTACCTTTGCGCGGAAAAGTCAACAGGCATACGGTATGCAGTCAAGAAGTTCGAGAAGCGCAGCGGTCCGGGAGAAAAGTCAAAGGTGGAGGGCTTGCAGCAGGAGATTGCTGTGCTCATGAGCGTTAGCCACCCAGCGCTTCTTTGTCTCAAAGACACATTTGATGAAGACGATGGGGTCTACCTTGTTCTTGAGCTGGCGACAGAGGGCGAATTATTCAATTGGATCGTGATGAAGCAAAGGTTGACTGAGGACGAGGCTCGCAAGGTCTTTGTGCAATTGTTTCAGGCGGTTAAGTACCTGGTAAGTCATGGCGCTCTCGTGCCCTATCCTTTTCTGACACACACACCAGCATGAACGCAACATTGTACATCGAGACATCAAGCCTGAGAACATCCTGCTCACCGACAAGGAGCTGTCTGTCAAGCTGGCCGACTTTGGTCTAGCCAAAATCATTGGCGAAGAGTCATTCACGACTACGCTGTAAGTTGACTCAAGTCGTATCCGAGTTCGTCACTAACGCAGGCAGGTGTGGTACTCCGTCATGTGTGTTGTTCTGATTTGCCTGCCATCAGGCCGATGCTAACAATGACAGATGTTGCGCCTGAAATTCTAGAAAACTCCAATCATCGCCGGTACACACGCGCTGTTGACGTGTGGTCGTTGGGAGTCGTCTTGTACATATGCCTATGCGGTTTCCCTCCCTTCTCGGACGAGCTATACAGCGCCGAGAACCCGTACACATTGTCTCAGCAGATCAAGATGGGTCGGTTTGACTATCCATCGCCATACTGGGACTCTGTTGGCGATCCAGCACTAGATCTTATCGACCGCATGCTCACCGTCGACGTGGAGCAACGCATCACCGTCGACGAGTGTCTGGAGCACCCATGGACTACGCAGGGCAAGATCAACGTCAACGACAGCACCGACGGCTTGACGGGGGCAATTTCAAAACTGGACTTTTCAAAGCGTAAGATACAGCGGGAGCGCACCATGCTGAGCAGCATCAACGATGTCAAGGTAACGCGCGTCATTCAGGGCACCGAAGGGCAGGATCCGGTCAAGGTGTACGAGAAGAACGGGGTAGGGAGCAAGGGCAAAAAAACCAAGGCGACGCAACATGCCGTTGCAGAGGAACAGCCGGCGGCGCAGCGGCATCCTGAAGAGTTTGTGGAAATGGGCGGCAAGGGCGACCAGACTCTGTACTCTGAAGAAGACGACGGGTCGCGCTATCCAACGGACCAGGGCCTCTTGTCTGGCGAGAGCAAGGAGGCCAAGGCGTAGCAATGGTGCTTTCTGATTTGCAGAGTGTTGGGCGTACCTGGGCGTTATGGGCGGACACAAGAGTCGAGGCCGGCATGTAGTGTACAACAGTGGGACTGGCATGGCCCAACAAGCATAGCGTAATACATAGACGGAAATTCTCAAGAGCCTTGCCAGGATGATACTTGGGTGGTCCGTAGACAGGAGACAGTCGTCGTAGGTGAGGTGATGTGCATGCAGGCCGGGCCAATGACACGAAGCTGGCCTGTCAATGGTGCCATGTGGTCGCTGGCTGCCGGCCCGCTACGCTCCAGAAGCCGGTCCCTGCCAAGAAAGCGAGGTCCACTACGTCCACTAACAGACCGCTCTGTACGACAGAGGCAGTCGGCCGTGCGATTGGACCGACGTGCCCCTGCGCCATTCCCCAGTGTCTAGGAAATTTATTGAGGGCGCCCCGTCAGCGTTTGCTCTTCATCCCCCCTTTGCTTCTCTCGTTGCTTCTTGCTGTGCACAATGGGTGTCTTTGCCCCCATTGCCGGCCCCCTCGGCGACTTCACCTCAAACTCGTCGACGCCCGTCCTTGTCGCTGCCGGCGTCGCCTCCTTTATCTTCCTGGCCATTGTCCTCAATGTCCTCAAGCAGTTCCTGTTCAAGAACCCCAATGAGCCGCCTCTCGTCTTCCACTGGGTGCCCATTATCGGCAACACTGTCTGGTATGGCATGGATCCGTATGCCTTCTTCTTCGCAAACTACAAGAAGTATGGCCCAGTCTTCACCTTTGTCCTCCTCGGTCGCAAGATGACCGTCTGCCTCGACACTACCGGCAACAACTTTATCCTCAACGGAAAGATCAAGGACGTCAATGCCGAGGAGATCTACTCTCCCCTCACGACCCCCGTGTTCGGCAAGGATGTCGTCTATGACTGTCCCAACTCGAAGCTCATGGAGCAAAAGAAGGTGCGCCACCACGTCTTGCCCACATCCTCTACGACCTACTTACACCAGACAGTTTGTCAAGTTTGGCCTAACGCAAGAGGCTCTCCGTTCCTACGTCGGCCTTATCACACAAGAATGCGAGGATTTCTTCAAGCGCCACAAGGCTTTCAAGGGACAAAAGGGCACTTTCAACGTCCCTAAGGTCATGGCTGAACTCACCATCTACACTGCCTCTCGATCGCTCCAGGGCGAGGAAATCCGCCGCTCATTCGACTCCAAGTTTGCCGAACTGTACCACGACCTCGACATGGGATTCTCTCCTATCAACTTTATGCTTTCCTGGGCCCCGCTCCCTCATAACCGTGCCCGTGATAATGCGCGCGAGACTATGATTCAGCTTTACTCTGAGCTGGTTCGCAAGCGGAGATTAGGCAACGTTAAGAAGGACTCTCACGACATGATCTGGCATCTGATGGACTGCAAGTACAAGGACGGCACACAGGTTCCTGAACACGAAATTGCTGGAATCATGATTGCTCTGCTTATGGCTGGCCAACACTCATCCTCTTCGACCATTTCCTGGATCCTGCTCCGTTTGGCACAGAATCCCGAAATTATAGATGAGCTTCTTGCAGAGCAAAAGGCGGTCATGGGTGAAGATCTGCCTACTCTGACGTATGAGGATCTCGACAAGCTGTCTCTCCACGCCCAAGTGGTCAAGGAAACCCTTCGTCTTCACGCTCCGATCCACTCGATTATGCGCAAAGTCAAGCAGCCTCTTGTCGTTGATGGAACAAACTACGTTATCCCTACTTCTCATCATCTCATGTCTTCACCTGGCTTCTCTGCTCAACTCGACACTTACTTTGTCAACCCCTCTGTCTGGGACCCACACCGATGGGACGCCGAGCAGGACAAACAAAACGCGGATGAGGAAGACGATGACGACAAGATTGATTATGGCTGGGGTGTTGTGTCCAAGGGCACCAAATCGCCATATCTCCCCTTCGGCGCCGGAAGGCACCGATGTATCGGAGAGCAGTTTGCCTACCTCCAACTTCAGACTATTATTGTTGCGTTTGTCCGTGAGTTCAAGGTTAGGAATATTGGAGGTAGCAAGGATATCATCGGGACGGATTACGCGAGTTTGTTCTCGCGCCCTCTTGCTCCTGCCGTTGTTGAGTGGGAGAGGAGGCATGGTCAGTTGTAATTAACTCTTCTTCAACCTCGAGTCTAGGGAACAAATGGGTGAGCCGTGCAGGAATGGGGCGGTGTAATGACATGGATGTCTTGTTCTTCTTCATTTGGCTGTCCGACGAGGTTCAGTAATCGCCGATATGCGCACATTTAGACTTTTCAAGACGTACTGTCTAGATTCTAGTACATCATAATAGCAGTTTAATGAAGAATGAAGAAATCAAAACGAGAACAATTTGTAAACGTGGTGGAGAATGAGTAGCCAGTGTTGCTTTTCACTGAAGATGACGTGTCAGCGAGTCGGATGGTGTAAAAATGACGTCTGGGCCAGCCGCAACAGATGCAATTCCGCAGGTATCTCCGTAGATACGATGGATTGATGGTGTACATCTACATAACAAAAAAAATTGTCAGCCGTCTTGTAATGTTGACAGGCAATGCGGCACTTCCCCACAACTGCCAAGACCATGCCTTTGCAACACCATCGGAAAGTTCGCGGTGCACGCTTGACCCACCTCTCAACATCCACACTCGCAACCACCATGCTCACACGGAGTGCACTGTGCCCAGCTAGGGCCTTTGCCAATCGTTTCCCTCCCGCGATACTCGCCCCCTCGTCACTAGGCGCAACCGCTTCCCTTTCGACATGCACACGACCAAGCCCGCTTCCGCAACAGCGCAATCGCCCCACGACGACAGCGACGGCGACAGCAACAACGGCGTCGTGCACCCAATTTCCCCGCAGTAAATGGCCGGTGCGCTATGCGTCGACGACACCAGCGCAATCCATGGCCAACAATTCCCCAGGCAGTACACAACCCCAACTCACATGGGACGCCTTCTTCGCGCTGCGCCGGACGCGCCGCAGAATTGGCCAGGCCTGCTCTGGCATTGGCGCTGTGGGTGTCACGTACTTTGGACTCACGACAATGATCAACAATGGCTATGATGCAACGCTCTCGGCGCAGCTCGGCGGCTTCGACCCCTTCATGCTCATGGGCCTGAGCACCTTGGGCATGATGGGCGTGGGGTGGCTCATTGGTCCTATCTTTGGCAACCAAGTCTTCAATTTGGCGTACAGGGGAGTTATTACCGAGTTCACACGGGTATGTCTGCGACAATGCCTTAAACATAAAAACATCAGGAATATTACTAATACTCGCTTCACAGAAAGACTCGGCCTTTTTCAACCGCATCAAGCGCCACCGTGTTGATCCTACCGCATCATCGCTGGCCAATCCTCCCCCGGATTACTATGGCGAGAAGATTGGTAGTGTGGCGGGGTATAGGCGGTGGCTGAAGGACCAGCGCGCCTTCAATCTCAAAACGGGCAGGTACAAGGGCGCCAAGACACTGTAGTGGCATATACGTTTTTTATTGCACGAACGCCAGTATGTCTTATGGCAGGGTAGTCGGTATGACGTAGGAATCATGATGATAAAAGATGGGGAATGTACATTGGGATCAAAGAGAGCATCTGGACTCGGCGCAACTCCAAAAATCATGCATCAATGGATTGGCATGACTCTTCGCTCTCTTTTTTTTCTAGTATACACACTGCAGTGTTTTTACTGCTGGTCTCTCAGCTCACATGTATTAAATTCTAGTGACAGACATGTAACTCTTTGTACGTTTATGCCCTGTTGACGTTCAAAACATATACCATCATTCCACTAAATCAGGTTTCAACTCTCTGCTTTTCTAGCTCTCGAACTTGTTCCTTTTTTTTGAACAGACAAACATTGGCGTACATGCACCTTAAGACCTTGCCTCACCCCATCTTGTATTGTAGAGCCATTCTACCGTCATGCATTCCTGCAGCCACTACATATGCTATTAATGTAAAACAAAAGTAAGACTAGCGAGGCCCGCTTTCGTCACCTTTGTCTGTTGTGACTCGCAACCTATTTTGTTATCAAAATGCTCAGAAGCAGGATACCTTGTTCCTATGTGAGAGAATTCGTCACTCTTTGCCTTGACGAGGGGACATTTTCGCTGTCTAGTAAACAATGTACTGCCATATAACAAGCTATACATGTCTAAGTTGATTGTATGCTAGCTTTGGAGATAATCTTTTTTTTGCTGCATGTAAATACAATGCACTAAATAACAGGACCAATTACGCTTGTAATCTTTTCGAATTAAGGGCGTAACTCCTAATGCGTATTTTCCAACTCTAGCTTACAATTGAAGTATTTACATATCTAGCTCAATTATACTGTACATTGATTCGAAATTCAAACATAAAAATCCCATAAACCCAGAGCTGCATTTATTCAGCACGTTATGCACTGCGAGGACGCTGAAGATGTAACCCATACAAAGAGTAACCACTATACAGACGTTTCCTCAAAGTTCTATCCACCAACGAGCTACTCATGGACACCTTCCAAGATATAGAAGTCCACAACAGAATCGAGTCACGTGGTGTTGACTCGACTTGCAAAAGAAAAGGGCAATTAGAAAAAATACGACAATGATTATTCGCCAGGGATCAAATATATAACTACTGTGTTGAACCGAAGGTCTGATCATTCACTATCTGTCTATGGAGGCTAATATATACATGAATAAGGTCAATAGGGCAATGGGCCTGTCTNCGCAAAGTACGGTGTAGCTGACACGTCTAGTATTGGCGGGCAAACTACAGCTGCGCTGAGGTGTGACAGAGGCAGTTATCCAACATACTAATCCGCCAGTAAACGGCTTAAGCATAGAAGAACGGACATACTTCCCTTATCCAGGATTCTGTGGTCGTATGCTAATGAAAAGACGAATCAATAGAATATGTCTCAATCTACGGGGAAGCGAGAGTCAGGATGTATCGAAAATCAGGAGAAGCGGAGGCTCATGTCGTCTGTTGTACACAAATGCAATGAGCGCAGCTGTCACTACGAAGCTTGGCCTTGTGTATCAGTGAAAGAGGACTCCAGTTCACTTTGTGCTTGTCTATCACGCTTTGCGGTTCTGTGACGTTCTAAGAAGGTCTTACTAGCACATTACTTCTGTCCTTGTCACTACTACGTAGTCAAAGTTTAATTGAACGCAAAAAGAATTCATCCCTTTGACGACCTAAATCTTTCCCCTGGAATGAAGTCAAAAGAAAGTAATGAAGAACCGAGGTTGGGATACCAGCCCGAACCCAAATAATCACACCCAACTTTTCTCCCATCTGTGAGAAGAAGAAGAAAAAAAGCAACATGTCAGATGATGTCACAAACAACATTCCATTTACATTACTTTGCTTTTCTTTCGTGTTCAATTCTACATGCATACTACTAGCTTTGCTTATCCTGCACGCGCAAGCGATTAATCTTGGGTCCTATGCAACTCAGCGGCCCAACACCAGCTGCCAGACCAAACGCCGGACGCCGTCGGAATCCATGTCTTGGTAGTTGCTTTAGAGTTAGAGTAGCGCAAGTTACTAGATAAAACACAGACGCGCCGACAACCCGGAAAGAGGGGAGTGCAGGTGGGCTTGCTGCTTTGGGTAAGGTTTGTACGGGGGAGGGGCGCGGAGGGGAGACAAGGAAGAGGAAGGTGAGAGCGGGTCGGAGCGGGGAAGCGGAGAGTTTAAATGCTCCATTACGCGATGGAATCTGGAATCTGGACACGACAACACGAAAGTGCGGTATTTTGTGGATATGGGCAAATGATTTTGGGATCAAGTTGCTCGTAACAACTAAACAAGTCATTCGGGGGGACCAAAAGTCATGGTAGCCAACAGAGTGGAGAAAACAGGGGTATAGGCATTTTAGACGTTACCATTCTTTCAAGAAAGGCAATCATTACAGGTTCGGATATCTACGATATACGACATCATAGGAATATTACATGAAAGAAAGCAGGCTCGGGGTATCGAGCTGTCTGAAGGGTATCAAAGAACTCGGACCAAGCACTCTGCGTTGTACGCGCAACTGCTTAGAAGATGCGGTGGAAGAAACGCTTCCACGCGGGCCAAGTGGCAATCTCGGCACGCTCCCTGTTGATCAGGTCCCAGTCAAGCTCACGACGGCCAGTGTCGACATCCATCTGAGAAGTGCGGAGCCAACCCTCACGCTTCCAGAAGTAACCGGCAACCCAGAAGGCGGCAACGACAAAGATGGCAAGGTAGGCCTCGAAAAAGTCGCTCGCGGTACCAGTCTTCTTGCCGGCTGGGAGGCCGAGAGGAGAGACAGCAGTGTAGAACTAGTGCCAATATTAGTATTTGCTTATTTAGAGGGTTTCAAGGATCATCTTACCTGAGCCGCCAAAACCATAATGATGATGCCGATACCGATCCAAGAGCCGATGACACCACCAGCAGCCCTGAAGGGGATCTCGTCGAGGGTGTGTCCGTGATATGCCCAAGCCTTGCGGAAACGAATGTGGGCCAAGCAGATGGAGCCCCAGGTGAAGAGAGCAGCAAGACCGGAAAGGGCGACGAACCAGTTGAAAACGGTCTCACCGGTAGAAGCCAAGTTCATGTAGGCAAGAGGACCCCACATCATGATGAACCCAACGGAATAGAGAGGACGTCCAGCGCGGTCAATGTAGGTGAAGAACTTGGGAGCGTAACCCTGGTCGGCGAGAGCGGTGAGAGTACGAGATCCACCGTAGACACCAGACACACCGATAGAAATGACTGAGACGAGGATGATGACGTTCATGAAACTGTCGAAACCAACGAGTCCGGCGTTCTTGCCAGCAATGACAAAGGGCGAGGCATTGACATCGGAGGAGCCACCCATCAGGCGCTCATCTTCGTGCTGTACGAGAAGACCGACAAAGGTGAGGCCGAGAATGTAGAAGAGAGTAATACGCCAGAAGACTTGGCGAATGGCACCAGGCAGCGACTTGAGAGGGTTCTTGGTCTCGGCAGCAGCCAGACCGACCAACTCAGTACCGGAGAAGGAGAATGCAGCGGTGACGAAAACACTGCAGAATCCCTTGAAGCCGTACTTGCTGAACGCGCCGGGGTCGTACCAGGTACGAGCACCCCAGTATTCGCTGTACATGCCGCTGCTAGGGCCGCCACCCAAAACGAGGACGAGGGCAATAATCATGAAGACAACTGTGGCGCCGAGCTTGAGGCATGACGACCAGAACTCTTCTTCGGCATATCCCAGAGTACCAAAGACGTTGATGAGGATGATGAAGACCCAGAAGATGGTGATGAAGACGGCAACGTTGACGTCTTTGGCGCCCTCCCAGTATTTGACAGTAAGACCAGCGACAAGCAATTCGAGCGGCAGAACAATGGCCCATTGGAAGACATAGTTCCAGCCCATGGCGAAACCCCAGGAAGGATCAATGAAGCGAGTCGAGTAGGTGTAGAAACCACCAGAAACCGGGTACATGACAGCGAGTTCACCAAGAGCATAGACTAGAAAGGCCATGTTAGGTTTGTTCGGTTAGGCGCAAGCAGAGCGTACTTACCGACGTTGAAAATCATGACTCCCATAATGGAGAAGTCAATGAGGAGCGAGGCAGGACCCTAGAGGGAGATTAGGTGAGGGGCGATCAGAGAGAGATTTGGTGGTGAGCAACTTACACCTCTGTTGAGAGCACCACCCGAACCGACGAAGAAACCAGCACCAATGGAACCACCAATGGCAATCATGTGGAGATGGCGAGTCTTCATGGACTTGTCGAGCTCGACCATGGGGCCAGCTTGGGGACGGCGCTGGAAGGACTTGAGGTTGAGACCGTTACGGGTCATGAAGTCCTCCTGGTCACGCCATTCGACCTGGCCATCTTCACGCGCCGACTCAACGGTAGGCTGAGGGACGCTCGCCTTCTCATCCGAGGGCAGGGCCTTTTCGTGATCCATGATGGGCGAAGGTGGGACAACTCTAATGGAGAAGTCAAGTTGGTTGAAGGAAAGACGAGATGAAGGGCTCGAGCAGACCCTGGGAGCGACGCTCTTTTAATATGCGAGTGCTGGATCAGCAGGAAGGGGGGGAAGGGAGCAGTAGACATTTATCCCGTCCTTGTTAGTACTCTCGGAACAAACGACCAGGGCTGTCGTCTGGTGGACACAGGCTCACCGTGCACGAGCCGACAGCTTGGCAGCCCTCTATGACAATGGCAGGCTTGGCAGCCTACTGATAGGCTGGGACGGCACATGGTTGGCTGGGCTCACACGAGCAGAAGAAGCGTTCGGCGTAGCGGGCAGGGCTAGCAGGGACAGTGTGTTGGCACCCCGCGGCGGCTCTTGGGATTAGCTTGGGACCTCCCCACAAGAGCAAAGCGGCCGGTGGCGTCTAGGCTTCGGGGGGGGGCCATTTGGTCAGACGCGGTTGCTGGGCGGAGATTGGGCCCAAAGCGGACTGATAACGAGGCATAGTGAATGCATGCAGCAGTCTTCTAGCACGCTTTCTAGAATGCTGATTGCATTGCTGGGACGGCGGGCCCGGCCCAGGCTCGCCGCGCTTTGCATCGGACCCGGCGCCGCATTCCTTGACAGCTGCCTGTCCCGGGCGAGGGGCGAGAGAGGCGCAGGGCGGTTGTGTTATCTGCAGGCTGCGCTTAGGCGTACACAGGTGTAACGACAATGGCCAGCGCTCGTATAGGCCGTCGAGGTTGTCTGGAGAAGCGTCTCACGTGGCTCCACCTCCATGTGCACCTGCCCCTTGTGGATTAGCGCCTTGGCGCCCCGCCGTCTCCGCCCTCGGTTAGCCCGAGATGCTCACCTCTCCGGCTGTCAACGCCTGTATCGGTGGCGTGGCGAAGCGCCCTCTCTCGACACCTGCCAATCCATTCACCCATCCATCACGCTGCTGCTGCTGCTGCTTGCCTGGTTGTTGCGGCGCGGGGTGGCACGGCATCCCTCTCTTCTCGACCGTCTGCACACCTTGCGTTACACCCACGACCCGCCCCTTTCGCTCGTTTCACCTGCCCCAATATCAGTCGCCCCTCCTCTCCCGCACGCCCACGGCCACCAGCACCACCAACCGGGTTGCTGACACCGTTATCGCTACGTGGGGAACGACGCACTCCCAATCTCTGCTTAAAAAGGCGCGCCGCCGCACTCTTGTCGTGGACCTCTGGATGCTAAATGAATCGTCCCACTCTATCCTGATTCACTGTGCTGATGACACCCAACCTCTGCTGCACCGCCAATCACGTCTTTTTCCCTCACGCACTTCCCCAATCGTTCTAGCGCACCATCTCCGTCAGAATGCTGCATGTCTTGGTCTTCTTGGTGTCTTGGTGTCTTGGGATCCTTCCAGTCCCGCCAAACCACAACGAGCATTGCCCTCCTACCAGGAATCCGGCCGCCTGGCCACCGTATAGACGCGCAGCTGCACTCCAGGGTCCACTAACTTCCGTTATCACACCGTGTCAAATTGGAATTGCAAACGCTCGCTTGTCGACCTCTAGCGCTGCTCCACTGATAACCAGCTGTCTGAGCGTCGCGTCTTGGGATGCCTCGATCCGCGCCTAGGGCCCACACCGTCCACTTTTCTCCAGCGTCTGTCAACCTCATCTCTCGTCATGTCCTCCCGCTAGTGAAGCTGCTCACACAGCACTCGCCAGTCAATATTGGGAGCGCGGACTATCGGATCAGCTTAAGCTTTCAGCACGCTTAGCATGCCCAATCCATTACCACTGCAACACGACAATTCCTACGCTTGGCGCATCCACCTATATTCCGCCCGCATAAACCTGCCGTTGCATAAACCACCGTAGAGCCGCCGATTACACCGAGGACATGGCTCCTTACCCTCTTTGTGCCGAGAATACCGCCTTGACATTATCCGCCACAACACGAACTCACAAACAATGATCAACAGGTTTGCGCGACTCCAATTTAAACACCACGGTTGCGCAATCTACCAGCTGACATTAGAGAGATGATTGGTTCTGCAGGCTATCCTTCGACGTCACTAACTTCGACAGGCTCCCTCTCGCCAATCACAGTAAGATTACGCTTATTATCTTTTTTTCAACGCCGGACACAACCACTTTTGCCACAATGCGCCGCCACCTTGTCCATGGTCATGTCAGCGGCTTTCTCTGGTATTACGCCACCATGTAAGGCTGTGGTTGGCACCGCACTAATTGGCACCCCCGCACGTCAGTGCATATGACCGAATAAATACAACCACAAAAATGTACAAGCTATGTATATGGGTATTCCAAGCACCCACTTGATGTGCATACATACATGAGCAGGATTCTAGAAAAATTCCCGCTACAGTCCGCCAGGGAAGTACCTGGCGGCGGCATTTGTTGTTCCTCTTGAGTAAGCTCATGCATACCGTGGCCGAACCCGGAATCGACATCGGGCCATTCCATGACTAGCCATGCAGCTGCGGCGGCATCAACAGTTTACGAAGCTTGAGTAGCTTGAGCAGCCTTTTGCCAGGAAATCTTTTCTCTTAATTTTCGTGTTTTTGTTATCTTCTTCGTCCTATCACCAAATAAGCTTGTGCTTAGCAGCCCCTTGATCTTCAAGCTAGCAATACTCCTGTCACATCGCTTACGCGATTCTTTCTCTCGCCCCAGCCGCTCCAGCATTTCTATTTCCTGCTTTTTTTTCTAAGAACAAGACCTGGTAGAATTCCAGTCTCATCACTTCCAGCATTCGAGTTACACTGACCACATTGCCTTTTCTTTCTGCTACGTCTGCGACAACGTCGTACAACGAGGCAACAGGAAGGTTTGCCGCGTAGTAGATGATGTTGGTGACAGTGCTTGATCAAAAATTGAAAGCGGAGATGCGGGGATCAAGGTGATGCTTTACGGATGATACCATAGGCTTCGAGGTTGAGCACAAGAAATGGGTTTACTGGCGACGGTGGCCTTGCGACACCCATATCTGTGAGCGGAGGCGGCGTTTCTGGGTCACAGTAAGAGAGGGTAGGGGTTCGCGCGTTGACATGACCGGCTACTGGTTGGTGCGTCGCACTTTGTAGTGTGCGAAGACAAATGGCGCGCTACGTACCCTTCAATTTGGAAGTAGGTATGTTTATTAAAGCCGGTCGCGGCCGAACTGAAGCCAATTTGCTGTTTTCGAAGTCTCAAAGGGATTTCCATCTCTCGCAAGGTAATGGACCTGTTGATATATGGTCATTGTACCAAAGATGCTCGCCATCAACCAAAGACAACGCTACACAGAACGTTCAAGATATGATGGATCCGAGCGTGCACGTACAGCATACCCTAGGACTCAGGCCTCAAGGAGTCTCCAATTTCATTGCACGGGTACCTACTAATACCTCACACCTAAGACACGGGTTAAGATATTCGCATTCGCACAGTCAACGGATTCAACCCCCTTCCTCCTGAAAATACGCAAACCATGTGTTTTTCGTTTGTGAGTGGTAGTGAGAGATTAAGTTCTTGTTTGCACATAAGAATACTATGTATTCCTCTGTCCCACTGTTGCTCATGTGGTCGGTCCTACATTGGCACCACATTGATTCATACCCAACCTCTCGGTTCTTATGCATTTTATCCTTCATCCATGCACCCAAGGAGAGCTCTTGTAGTGTATTTGTCATCGTTATCTTGGTCATCAGATACCACGCCGCATTGCTGGGGTGCGCTAAAGAGCCCATCACATTCCGGCCAAATTCTGCCGTGTTGATCACGCCTTACGCTTACAGATTATCTAGGCAAACATTGTCTGCTCACACATCCAGTCATGCATGCGAAGACACTTAGTCTTACAACTTGAGATACGTGTTTCCATTATGATTTCTTATACAAAACAACAAATCATTATTTCAGCTTGCTTGTCCACAACTTGCAGTCCTGTACACAAGGAGTTGCGTGAATCCAAGGCTACTACCATTGATTTGCATGTATTTTTAGCCACCTGCCTAACCACAATGAAGCTCCCGTGCAAGTGAAGCCGCCCCCAAACCTGCCAATAAATATATACTCAAGGCATCCTGCAGACAGAAGTTTGTTTCGGTTACTCAATCCGCGTAATGGGCCTAGTGTGCCTCAAAGTAGAGGCCTCGATTTCTTGTACGCGAAATCTTACCACTGTGCACTAAACTCCTTCACCCTCACCGTCTTGGCTAGGCGTACCACAGAAGACCAAATCCCAAGAACTCAGCTTGATTGATAGGCCGGTTGCCTAAACCGCCAAGTACAGCACCCTGCTTCATGCTACTCTACTGGAGTATCAAGTATGGTTCCAACCAACATGGCTAACATGTTCTCGGAATTTTAGATGAATCGTCTTGGAAGTCCATGTTGATGAAAATTCCTCCGGATCATGTATATAAAGCAGCTGTGTATCCCGCAAACGAATATCCAAAATCATCATCTTTTGACATCTCGAACACTTTGGTAGCATATCTCACAACCAAGGCATCTTTTTTTTGTGGTAAAACTTCATCATGAAGATCGCAACCGTCTCCCTCTTTGCCGCAGGAATTGCATCCACGGGCGTGATCGCAGCCCCTGCACCTATGGAAGTACCTGGTACCTCTCCGAATCTTGCCAAACGAGGTCTCTGGCTTAGAGATGAGTGCTTCCCGGAGAGTGGTGGCAACACAATTGGTGGGAGTACGCTTTGGATGCTGCGCAACACTTGGAACAATCGCTTTGGTGGAGACTTCAGCGGCAGCCTTGGGGTATGTTTGTCGCTACATGTACTCATAGAAAGATTGATCTAACACGGCCTGTCAGGTCTACCAATACAAAGGCGTGTGTTGTTGGGGACAGTGTCTATTCGTGTCATCCGAGGGGCAAGGTAGGAGGTGGTCTGGTGATGCGTGGGGCAACGCTCTATCAAGGCTTCAAGGTGTGGTTGGAAACAGTAAACGAGGTCTCTGTGGGGCCCGGATTGACAATGACGCCTACTTGGTCCTGATGACTGTGCAGCACGATGCGGTAACTCTAGGAGGCCCAACTGTTGGCCAGGTGTTTGGAGATACTTGTGGAGGTAATCCTCCTTGGTAGATATCGGGTCTAGTAGTTGATACGTGAACACAATGGACCAAGGCAAGGTAATGGTACTAGTGG